CCACCCACTGTTTCAAGGAAATCAAAAATATTACTGATGGCCCTTTAAGTTTTGAAACCACTGAGCTTCGTACATTTGTTCATGTAAAGAATTAACTGATCTGTAAAGACCTTTTCAGATGATAATGGACGTGACTAGCAAACAATTTGTTAGGGAAGGAAGGAAACAAGATAGATAGATACATACAATGGGATGTGTAATGGAAGACATATTCTAAAGATCTCCGAAAATAAAATCTAGTCGTTATAAGATGCCTGGTCTGAACAGGAACTTGATTAATTGAATTAATTTCTTGTTCTCCTCTCTCCACTACATAATATGTGCTAAGGCAGTGCCAACGGGAAAATATATGGCCGATTGCCAAACATTTCTTCCTCACCCTGAACCAAACCTTACTACAAGCGTCTTTAAAACAAACCCAATTCACAAGTGAAGATATATACATGTAGTAGGTTGAGTACCATGGATGGAATTCACCTGTTGAACCCAATGACCTCTGTATGGTGGACCTTGAAGGTATCATAAGCAGGAGCAGGCTTAGGTTGAAGATGGGATCTTCTGGTGGACAGTGTGCTCTGGATACTGACTGGAACATAGATGGAGATTATTTAGTATGCGTTCTGGTTATATTAATGGACACTATTCCAGTTGCTTACATGAAACTAGTAGGTATGTTTATTGAATATTGATAAGGGATGCAGCTGGAAATTAAAGGATGTTCTATAGTTGCCTTCCTATTCTACATGTGAACTTTGTTACTGGAGTCCTGAATTTCAAGAATGGTCTGTTTTCACCAAAAAGCTAATGGAATACAAGGACTGATTAATTGCTGGCACCAGTGGTGTATTCTGGTTTTGTGCTGCCCTAGACATGACAAATTCAGGCACCCCCCCCCCTTCCAAATTTCTTTTCCAGACAAACACACGCCCTCACTGATGCCTGCACTGACATACACTCACTTACAGATACACAGTCATTGTCACACACACTATTTAACCAACACACACTTTCACTGAAACACACATTCACAGGCATACACACTCACTCATTCACTGACAGACACACATATACACTAACTGACAGACACGTACACACTCACTGACAAGACACACATGCATATTCACTGACAGACACACACTTACTCAGTGTCACACACATACACACACACAGACACAAAAAGCTGCATCAAAATATTATTCATAAAGCAAACACAATGCGTTTCGGCTGGACGCCTTTATCAGGTGCATAGTAGTACTGTCCTTCTGGCCCCTTACTACTATGTACCTGATGAAGGCGTCCAGCCGAAACGCGTTGTTTCTTGTGCTTCTTATATGTAAGACTTTTATATTGTTTTTTTAATAAATGTAAAGATTTAACTTTTAATTCTTGCTTGTTATCCTTCACCATATGACCACTGACGAAGAATACAGAAGCTGAGAGACTTCAACTTTACATCTTTACATCCTACTCATGCCTATATACCTGAGCCAGTTTTCATGCAGGCTCATTAAAATGTGAGTAGGATGCAACTATAAAATATATATAAATTATACTTGCTTTGTGGATACAGATTGCTTTGCTCTTTTAGAAATACCTCTGGACACAGCTCCCTAATAAGTGTATGTACGTTTTGTAACTATGCTGTTGCAAAAGTAACCTCGTCACTGGCTTTTGGAGGAGCCTGTTTGCCAGCCTTCTGCCCTGTGACTATAGCGCGTATAATAGACTTTGGTTAAAGACCATGTTTGTGCCTTTTTGGACTTGTATGGCTACACTTTGAACTCTTGAAGCATTACTTCGAACTCGCAAAAGTGGTTCAAAGCGGCACTTCGAACTCCCGAAGCAGTTAGAACACGTGGCAGCAGCCATCTTAAGCCGCAAGTACAATAAGCGTTGTTTGGTCGTCGAGTTCATGGAACTCAAATCGGACACTCGACGGCACAAACACTGCTAACTATTTACCTTCCATGGATGTTCAGCTATTCGAATTCGGTAAGAATAAATTCCCAAAGGAGAGACATAGACTAGGTGCAATACGAACTCTCTACGTTCGGTATTTCATATGTTACTTCGAATCCCCGAAGTAGACTGACCGCACAGCTTAATTGTCTGGAACTGTTTTGGGCATGGAACCATGCGTGCGGTAGGTCAAAATGCGACTTCCAGAAGGTTCCTGAACCCCTGAGCTGATCTGGGTGATTTTTGGATGTGTTGGTCACCCAGATCGGGGCTATCAGGGGATGTAACATTTGTGGGGATAACTTACTACAAGCGTCTTTAAAACAAACCCAATTCACGAGTGAAGATACTTTGGGGGTACTTTGTTTTTTTTAGAAAAATGTGTTTTTTCTGCCTGGATATAATTGAGTTAATACAGTATCTGACTCAATTATCTCCCAGGCAGAAGGGAGGGATTGTATGCAATGTGTGGGAGTGTCAAGCCTTGTAACCTTATTGTTATTGGTCTGTGACGCTGTAAATCAGTCTACCATCAGGTCGATGTGGGGTACCCCTTGCATGGGGATTGTCATATAGTTACTTTGTGTGAAACTGTGTGGTTGGTTTCACTGTAGTTTCAGCAGCACTATCTTATTGGCAATTATAGCGCCATATTGTACCACTAATTTTCTCTTTTGTACAACTTATTTACACAGACTGATTCCCAAACACATTTATTGTAGTTTAAAGACACGTTACTGGCAGTATTGTTGCTTTGAAACTCTGTTATGCACTCAGATACAACAACAATATAGCGCTTCTACAAAAGAGGGACATTAGAAAAGAAAAGAAAAGAAGGATTTGGGCCTAACATAGGGACTGTCCTTCCTAAATAGGGTCAATTGGGAGTTATGATTACTCATTGTATTGTAGAACATTGCTTCTAGAGCCCATCCTCATCATACTCACTGTGTGGGGTATACTGATTGTTACAAAATACTCCTTATTGTTGCCAAAACTGTGACAACCGCCACAACCTTTTGTCTCAATGTACCATTCCTCTCTAGATTGTAAGCTCACAGGCAGCGTACCCCTTTTGTTTCATTGTTTCTAAATAATTATCCCCTATTTGTATAATTACCAATGTTATTTGGGCATCATTTCCACTGAATAAGGGGGCTATATGAGAACTGTTGAATAAATATTTATAATGGAGCATTGTATAATGTAAGAAGCAGTGTATCTATACAAGAAGCAGTATTGTAATAATAATAATGTAAGAAGCAGTGTATCTATAAAAGAAGCAGTATTGTATGATCTAATGGAGTAGTATAAAATAATGTAACATACACAGTATTATTATTATTATGATATTTAAAGAGCGCCGTCAAATTCCGCAGCGCTTTACAATGACTGGACGAACAGACATGTAACCAGACAAGTTGGACACACAGGAAGAGAGGGGTTGAGGGCCCTGCTCAATGAGCTTACATGCTAGAGGGAGTAGGGTAAAGTGAAAGAAAAAGGTAAGGATAGTATTAGACTAATGACTGTAGCAAGAGAGGAATCAGTCGGGAGCTATTAACAGTTTAATTGATACGCTTTTATGAAGAAGTGGGTTTTTAATGATTTTTTGAAGGAGTGGAGACTGGGTGAGCATCTAACAGAGGAGGGAAGCGAGTTCCACAGGAATGGTGCACCCCTCGAGAAATCTTGAAGGCAAGCATCAGAGGTGGGAGTACGGACAGAAGATAGACGTAAGTCTTCAGCAGATCGTAAGGGACTAGACGGGACATACTTGTGTATAAGGGAGGATAGATAGGTGGGAGCAGCATTATGTAGAGATTTGAAAGCAAGAACCAGATTTTTAAATTGAGCTTTATATCTTATAGGAAGCCAATGTAGAGACTGACAGAAGGGTGAGGCGTGGGAGGTGCGGACGGACAGGAAGATGAGCCTCGCCGCCGCATTCATTATGGACTGTAACAGCGCAAGTTGGGAGCACGTAAGACCACTGAGAAGTGGATTACAGTAGTCAAGGCGAGAAAGGACAGTGGAATGGACCAACACCTTAGTCGCATCTGGCATTAAGTAGGGGCTGATGCGCGCAATGTTTTTGAGATGGAAATGACAGGATTTGGCGATAGATTGAACATGAGGCTTGAAGGAGAGGTCGGAGTCAAAGAGAACACCTAGGCAGCGAGCCTGCGTGGTGGAGCTGATGGTAGCACCGTTGACTTGGAGGGAGACAGACACAGGAGTAACAACACTTGAGGGAGGGAAGACCAAAATTTCAGTTTTGGTCAAGTTTAGTTTAAGGAAGTGGGCAGCCATCCAGTTAGAAATAGCAGAGAGGCAGTAAGAGACACTAGTCAAGAGGAACTGGGAGAGATCAGGATTGGACAGGTAGATTTGTGTGTCATCAGCATAGAAATGATATTAGAAGCCAAAGGAGCTTCTGAGTTTACCAAGGGAGGCAGTATAGATGGAGAACAGTAGGGGACCAAGGACTGAACCTTGGGGGACACCAACAGAGAGGAGTTGGGGAGAAGCAGAGCCAGAGAAAGAAACACTGAAAGAGCGCTGGGAGAGGTAGGAGGAGCACCAGGAGAGAGCAATATCTTTTAGACCGATATTGTGGAGGATGAGCAGAAGCTGTTATAAATATAAGAGTATGATGCAGTCAGCACATGAAGCTATTATTATTATTATTATTATTATTACACAGGGACATCTCCAGACAGTGATATCACCCATGCATCCTGATAGGAGCAGACACAATAGCACGGCTCGGCCACTAGGTGTCACTGCGCTCCCGGGGCGGATGCTCCATCCATGACCTCACCCTTCCTCGAGGACCCAGACGCCATAGCTGCCCAGGTGGACGCCTGATTAAAAAAAATAAAAAAAATACCAATCTATTCTCACAGCCCCACCGCAGACAGTCCGACCCGGAGACACACAGCACTGTTACATGCATTCCGCGTTATCCCGCCTCTCGCCATTACACCCTGGCCTTGCTTTGTTTCAGGCATGTCACCGGCCTTCCCTCAAGGCGGGGTCCTCGGCAGGCCCGGCTGATGTCATTCTTTGTGGTGGCCGCAGTGGCAAGATGGCGGCGGAGAGGAAGATGCTTGGCGCTGACCGGGGGGAGGCACCGGGTGTGGGGGGCGAAGAGGACGAGGGGCAGAGCCTGTGGTGAGCATGATAGGCCGCAGGGGAGCAGCTCTGGGCGGGATCCCGGGTCCCTGGGACATGGCTGCCTTGTCCCCCATGGTGCCCCCTGTCACTGGGTGGCTTCCACACCCTCCTGGCACAGCTGGCATTGCCATGGCACCCTCCTGGCACAGCTGGCATTGCCATGGCACCCTCCTGGCACAGCTGGCATTGTCATGGCACCCTCCTGGCACAGCTGGCATTGCCATGGCACCCTCCTGGCACAGCTGGCATTGCCATGGCACCCTCCTGGCACAGCTGGCATTGTCATGGCGCCCTCCTGGCACAGCTGGCATTGCCATGGCACCCTCCTGGCACAGCTGGCATTGCATGGCACCCTCCTGGCACAGCTGGCATTGCCATGGCACCCTCCTGGCACAGCTGGCATTGTCATGGCACCCTCCTGGCACAGCTGGCATTGCCATGGCACCCTCCTGGCACAGCTGGCATTGCCATGGCACCCTCCTGGCACAGCTGGCATTGTCATGGCGCCCTCCTGGCACAGCTGGCATTGCCATGGCACCCTCCTGGCACAGCTGGCATTATGGCACCCTCATGGCACAGCTGGCATTATCATGGCACCCTCCTGGCACAGCTGGCATTATCATGGCACCCTCCTGGCACAGCTGGCTTTGTCATGGCACCCGGGCAATGGGGGCTCTATCACTTTAATTACCAATAGCCATCACTAGATCCTGTATGGCAGGGATGGATAACCCCTGGCTGTGCCTTTACTGTGCCTGGGCTGTCACTCTCATGGCTCTCAGCCAGCTGATTGGGTCTCCTGATATTGATAGTATTGCTACAGTCCAGAAATAAGAGATCTATAACTTGATTTGCATTGGTGATGTCAACAATATTGAGCTCCTAGAAAGAGGGACATTAGAATAGAAAACAAGGCAGGGGGATTTACCATGCATTATTGGTGGCAGTGCCTCTGCTGTGGGGTATATTTCTCATCACACTCAGCCAGCTGAATAGAACTCATGGTAGTATTGCTACACCCAAGAATTAAGAGATCTATAACTTTATTTGCATTGGGCAGTCAGACCATAGAGAGCAGTGATGGGTAACCTCTGGCACCCTAGATGTAGAAGACCAGCACAGCTGGATGTCATGGGATGTGTGGTCCATAAGAACTGGGGTACCACTGCTGCACTGTAAACCGATGAATATAGATGGGTGCATGGGCAGCTGCAAATGTTTGACTAGTTGACTCTAGTTTTGCACAGGGAACTACAGTGTTGTGTTTGTAGTTTGTTGTGTGAAAAATTGGGGTACACCGTATTTTTCTTTAACTCTTGTAGCTACAGATCTGTTTTTTTTTTTTTTGTTTTTTTTTAATTGGGTGAATCTATGACTCCGGTACACTGTTCTGATTTCTTATATTCAGTATTTGGGTATTTGATACTCCATCCGTAAACACCAGGCAAAAATATGTTGTATTTATCTCTTTGAATTGATCTAGTCAGTGCTTCTCTTGATTTGCTTGAAGAATCAAGGAAGTAAATGGGATTGAAATAGGATATCCTTAGGAATGGGCAGCTTAGTCATGCAGGCCCTTGTCTGTGTTATTTCTGAACATGACGGTCAAACTAAAGTGGTTTTTCACTGAGGAATGTAATCATTGAAAACTGCATTATATTGAATTGAAATACACTTTGCAAATTTAGACTAAAATAGCTGATTTGGAGAGGGGAGGGGGAATAAAATCTCCAAATCAACTAATTTTGTTTGTCTACTTCAGCCTAAATTTTGCATCTTGCTCTTCAGCTTAATATAATATTGTATTTAGAAAAACACACTTCCAATTGGCTACTTTGGCCTAAAATGTTACATGCTTTCCGAATTTCTATCAGTTTGCACTTTTAGTGGCTAACCCTGTAAGTGTTATTTGGCTATATCGCTGTGCTAATTACTTTGTGCATGCATCTTAGACCATAGCATCGGTCATGACATTTTAATGTCCTTCCTTTGTGTCACGATGCAGAAACATTGGTTGGGTTCTAAACTCCATTTCCCCTTATTTTATTATAATTATTTTTTGTTGTTGTCATTTTTTATTTTTTTTCATAACACATGTAAAGTGGTTTGTAAATGATTTTTAATTTTTTGCCTTTCAAGGCATTGCCAAAAATCATAACTTTACATTCTTTAGATGTGCTTTTCAACATACAGCTTTCTGTTCCTGTTTTTAAGGGTGTGTATGAGAAAAAGGATTACAATGTAGTTTGCTTTTATTAGTGTTCCGTGATCAAACATTACAAAGTTCTCCACATTTAAAGCATCCCTGCCTTGGGGAGTACCACACCCAAGTGTCAAACAGTTTTCTCCTTGTGTGATGTTCAGTGGGCTATGCAATTGAAACTGTACTGTACCATGTTTCTTTAAATCTAGCATCGGAACTGTCAAAGTAACAATGGTGCAAGATTTGGAAGTAATGCTTTTGGGAAAGCAATCTATCGCTCCCTACCTGTTGCCGTATACTAATGCAGTCTTAAGCTAAATATAGCAAAATGGTCAAATAATTGGATTTTGAGAGTAAGCCTGTTACAGCAAGGGCCACATCACCTTTTGTTCTTGTGTGTCTTAACATGTGATGTGAAAAACCACTTTAATGTTTTGGAGCACCACAGAATATATATTGATTACCAAACTAGCATATGCCATAGATATAGATAGCCTGGGTTTTGTATATTTTACCCTATGTGATATATTGTGTTTAAAGGTTGCTGTCATATCTAGCTGCTCTTTGGGTTTTTAAATACTGTAAAGTCAGTAGTTTAGTAATTTTGATGAAATTATATGAAATATTCTCAAAAAAAAAAGATACTGCAGAATTCATTTTCCGAAGGTTTTGGTGTCTTCGTTATGAGATAAAAACATAGTTACATTTTTATGGCCATACTATTTCATTACTGTCTAAAGATATGTTGTTCTGTGGCCACGTGAATGTTGCACTAAAGCTTTAGATGTCTACTACTTTTTGCAGTTGCCAGAACCATGTGGAAACAATGTGTATGTTGTGAATGCCACCTCCCTACATAATAGGAGAGATAGCTAGTTCCCTGCCTCTTGTAAAACCGTATTTACAAGATTTTTTTTTACATTTTTAATACTCCTTAAATTGTCAGTTATTAAATTATTGACATCTAAGCTAGAACCTAAAATTAAAAAATAAATTTGCCTTTTTATATTTCTGTTTTGTATACATGTAAATGTTGTCAACCCTGTTTGTTACATTGTCTATTAATGCATATATCTTCTGTGCATAAAGATGTATATTTTTTGAATGTTTAATGATGTCAGGTGAAGGAGTAACGCTGTTACTGTAAATTGTGGCATTAGAGAAAATAAATAAAGAGGACTTAATGGTCACATTGATAAAGAAGTCTCAAGCAGTATCATAGAGAATAACTATGTTCTATCTCACATCATCAGACTATCGGTATCATGATCAGTTCAAAGCTATTATTAATACCTATTTTTTTTTTTTTTTTTTTGAGGGAAGAGTCTTGTATGTAGGGCTGCCAAATCAACCATTATTTTGTGGGGCTCCTTTAATTTCTTTGTTGGTGGGTATGGCATGAAATGTTCTCTTACTGCATGTAGAACCCATATGCTTTAGGATTCTCAATGATTAAAGGGACATCGAGATGAAGTGGTCTGGGTGCACTGACCCTGACCATTTTAACTATTTTTATAAACGGCAATGTTTGTAGGGTTAAATCCACATCTAGGTGCTGTCTTCCTGACAGCCACTAGAGGTGCTTCCACGGCACTGGCAGAGTTAAACTGTGTTACGTGACATGAAAGCTCATACGAAAGTACAGTATACAATGCTTTTCTATAGAGAAGTTTGGATGTGTATGTGCATTAGATTCCAAGTGTACCTCTATGAGGAGCATTGGATTGGCCCAACATGGAGGAGACTGTGCCTCATCAGTGTTGTCATTGGAGGGAGAGGGGGAGCTTGGCGCTGGAAAAGGTAAGTAAAAAGCTTTATATTTATTTCTTTTTAGCATTAGGAACGCAGGGGTTAAACTAGGCATTGTATTTCCTAGTTACGAAAAACCTCTGCTGTTTTGGACCCTGTGGATTCCATCCTTATGATGGCTGAAGATATTGGCAGATAGAACCACTGCATCTAAGTTATCACTGATCTATTACTGTGCAGACTGCCCCGATAGTGACTTGAAGATCTTATGGACTTCTAAAATGACATGTTTCTGTTTTTTTATTATTTTTATAGGTCATCCATTCTCAGTGATGTGTCTACAAGTGCGAGATCCAAATTACCCACCGGGAAAAACATACTGGTTTTTGGTAAGTACTCCTGAAAAGACAAAGTAAATAGTACATTCATCATGGCATTCATGCACAAGTTTTCCTATTAAAATTTCAGGAAGCATCTCCTTACTCCTATTAATATCAAATAGTGTGTCTGTTGTGAAAATGCTAATTTGCAATTTATACTTTTATCATGAGAGTTATGTTCAGCAACAAGCAGCTGTTTATTCTGCATATCAATGGATTGAGCTTGTAATTACCAATTGTGTTCTAATTCAGGTATATAAACAGGTCTCCCTCCATCTAGCATCTGTTCTGTCAAATACCATTTAATAATGCTTGGCTGTGCCATTTAAACAGATGGAGAGCTTACCTGTTAGCCCTGCCTGTTCTAAATTATTGGTTTACAAAGTTTACCTGGGCGCTGAACAGTGTCAGGATTATTCCCTGAAAAGAGTTGATGGGAATTCAAAATGCATTTCAAATTGTAGATCAAAGATGTAGAAAAAACATTCCTGATTTTGACATAAAAGTTTAAATTCACTTTGAATTCCAGAGAACTCTCACTTTAGTGAATAAACTCTCTTGTGGGATAACATGTTTATCTCTAATGAGACAAAACCCCTTTCTGTCTCATTAGAGATATCTTTGCCGGAAGCTCAAGGAAGCAAGGTGAAAGGTTAGTGTAGGACCCACCATTGGAGAAACAAAATAACCTCCAATTTGTTTAAATATGGATTTGGGAAGAGCACAGGTAACTTTTCTCTCTTTGTTTTTTACTGTATGTATTGGGGCTGAAATGTACTACGGTTGTTGCCGCCGCCCCGGAGTGGGAGTTTGAGTGCAGGACTTGTTTTTTTTTTTTTTTTTTTATCAGATCTGACTTGTTCAAAAAATACTGAGTAGATTAGGAAGCTGTGAACTCCATTTTACAAACAGATTAAATGTTATATACTGTATATGAAATGTACGTACCTAACTCCTGCGTTTTGATTGGGGTTTTTGTTACTCTGTCATGTTTTGCCATAAAGGATCGCAGAAACCTGTCTGTTAGGAAAGTCTCGACAAATCATGTGAGAACGCTGTGAAGTGGATATTCGTCCTTTCTGCATTTGTCATGATATTTTCCACCATTGCATTGCCCAATTCTCTTTGTTCATGCAGGTGAAGATGGCTCGGGAAAGACCACTCTTATGGCTAAACTACAAGGAGCAGAGCATAACAAGAAGGGAAGAGGATTGGAGTATTTATACCTAAGTATTCAGGATGAAGACAGAGAGGGTGAGTGTTGCCACCCTATTTTGTTTGGGGGGGGTCTATTTTTGTGTGATTACTCTATGCCACACATTTTTTCCAACCTGGGGGTTCCACCAGGTGTGTCCTGGCAACTTCAGAACTAATTGGAAAAGGGCAGAGATTTTAGTTGAAATTTAACAATCCTTAACTCTTATCTTGAACACTATTACTTTTGTATGAAAAATAGAAACAAGAGACCTACTAATATGACGTAATTGTATCCGCTCTTGATTAGTTAGAATATGGATTACAACAGGAACATTATTACCAATGTGGCAGTAAGGACTTGACTCTCTGGCTGAGAAAGTGTAGCTGTCTCAGCCAATAAGTAGTACCATAACCACTATTGTGTTTTTAACCTCACTGGTTTTCATCCTAGAGGACGCCATCTTGGAATTGCATCACATAAAGTTAGAGATTTAAAATATTTAATAGAATATGTGAAAAGTAAAGATGTGATAATAGCTGTATACATGAGGTCTGCTTGCTCGCAGCATTCCTTTCTGCAGGTGTGGAGAGATTTTTATTTTATTGTTTTGCTAAGTTATACGTAAGGAAAAGTAGTCCCAGCAGGTTGACAAATGGTGGAGATTTAGTCAAGCTCCACAGCCTTTGTCAACTTTGTCTTTGGCTGTCTGTATGTACTCAACACCCTCAGGTGGCGCTTCGCAGAGCCTCAACGTGGACATGTAATTTGTAGCTTGACGACAACGCCTAGCTATGGGCAGATTAAACTATTTCCGGGTGTCGCCCTCTTAAAACTTGAATATGGCTGCTCCTAGAAAGAAGACCTGGATGAACTGGACAGATGTTATAGTAGAATACACAAAAAGATCCCGCACTCTGGCATTGATAGAATGTGATCACATTTTGTTCTTACACGCATACAATCCAAGTGTTCCAGGTCCAGGATTGGCAAATTCCAATTTGCAGATATGAAGAAAATCAGGTCCAGGCACTCAGGATATTGCAAAAAGCAGATTTATTGGAACAAAGGAGCAACGTTTCAGCCTTCACAGGGGCCTTTGTCAAGCTATCACCATAATGCACACAACTTCTTCATAGAGTGTCATTTGGATTACTCCCTATAAAAGAGGTTGTGTGCATTATATATATATGTCCAGGCACTCAGGATATTACAAAAACAGATTTATTGGAACAAAGGAGCAACGTTTCGGCCTGCACAGAGGAATTTGTCAAGCTATCACCATAATGCACACAACTTCTTCAAAGAGTGTCATTTGGATTACTCCCTATAAAAGAGGTTGTGTGCATTATATATATGTCCAGGCATAAGTTGGTATCCACAACGTGACAGAACCGCTTTAACTAAGCCATTACGATTATTATTTTAAAATGTAGCATTTTTTTTTAAATTGCTCTGGTAATTTTCTGTGAAGGGTGCTAAGGATAAATGTCGAAAAACTCCTACATCAAAAAAATCTTGGCAATGAGTAAATACGTTTGATGCAGGTTTGTGAAATTGGTTCAGATTACGTAGTCCAGCGGCATGTCTCTTAGTGCAGTGTGTACCAGCTCACATGCCTGTACCATAATCTCACCCACCTAGATGGATACAACTCCATTTTCTATAAAACCATGCAAAGTCTTTCCTCACTCAGGAAAGTGATCTTACAGTACGAATGAATGGATTTCTGTTCATGCCGCCATTGCGCACTTGCAGGCTTTCTTCATTCATTTGAAAACTATTGAACATGTCAATGTGACATCATCACATTAAGCTCAGCAAGAGCACACTAGGATTGGCTGAAGCATACCTGCCACTCAGGATGATGCTGCGGGTAATGGAGTAGATTGAAAGCACTGGGATAGTCTGCAAAGTTGGGGCATATTTACAGCTGAGGTTTTTAAAAAAAATTATTTTTTTAATGTATTTATATTAACTCTTATTTCTTTATTTTATTAACGTTGTTGGATCTAAATCCTTACTGCAGTGACACTTGAAGGGCCATTAATATTAATTTCTTTAATATGACATGGCACAAAGAGATGTGATAAATGGATTTGAAAGTTAAAATGTTTAAACAGTTCACAGCTGCTAGAAGTTTTTAGACAAAACCTACCGTATATACTCGAGTATAAGTCGACCCGAATATAAGTCGAGACCCCCTAATTATACCCCAAAAAACTAGGAAAACGTATTGACTCGAGTATAAGACTAGGGTGGGAAATGCAGCAGCTACTGGTAAATTTCTAAATAAAATTAGATCCCCCCAAAATTATATTAATTGAATATTTATTTACAGTGTGTATATAATGAATGCTGTGTGTGTGTGTGTGTATATAATTAATGCAGTGTGTGTGTATGATGCAGAGTGTGTTTGTGTATGTGATGCAGAGTGTGTAACCTTGGTGGGGGGGTGGGCATTTTTATTTTATTTTTTATTATTATTTTAGTATTACATTTTGAATTTTTTTTTTTTAATATTATTAAAATTTTTATTTTATTTTAATATTATTTAAAAAAAAAATTTTTTTTTACGTCCCCACTCCCTGCTTGATACCTGGCTAGGGAGGGGGGGGCTATATTATTCCCTATTGGTCCAGTGGTGTGTACTGTGCAGGAGGGGGCCTGGGAGCAAGCTGTAACTTACCTTTACAGCAGCTCCATTCAGCTCCCTTCTCCTCAGTTCCGGTCAGCTCCACTGTAAGTCTCGCAGTCTGAGTGCCAGACGCCGCGGCTCTCGCGAGACTTACAGTGGAGCTGACCGGCACGGAGAAGGGAGCTGAATGGAGTTGCTGTAAAGGTAAGTTAAAGCTTGCTCCCAGCCCTCAACAGGACCGCCGGGCTTGTAATGAGCCCAGTGGTCCTGGTCTGTATTATGGCAATGTAAGTTGCCATAATACAGAAACTGACTCAAGTATAAGACGAGTGGGGGTTTTTCAGCACAAAAAATGTGCCAAAAAACTCGTCTTATACTCGAGTATATACGGTAATGTGAATTGTTGGAAGAGACCAGAATAAATAACTTCACTCACTAAACAGAAACCAAAGTTGTCCTCTAACCGGCTTCTTCGTGTTCTAAGCCAACCAGAAGCCACCTAGAATTCTTGACATGGTCAGTGACCACAAACTGCAGAGCTGTGACTGAATTAATGACAGCCTCTTCTCTGCTATTACTTGTAACAAATATACAATGTGTAAGTACCAAAGCCTTTCTATAATTATGCATAATGTGCCATTTTATATGAACTGGGTTTGAGATGGAGCATTACAGTTTCTGCATATGTGCAGTTCCAGGTTACAACTGATGATCTGCGGGGTCTGTAACTCGATACTTGATTGATTTATATGTGTTTTCCCGCTCAGTAAATTGTTTGCTATGCATTCGTTTAACCAGTCTGAAAATAGATTCTTCTGTTGGAACTCACAAATTCTATTCCTCCGAGCCATTGTTGGCCTTCACTAGTGAGCTTCACCTGCCAAGGAATTTCCTTAACTAGTGATTTCTGTTCATTTACGATCACCTGTCTGTAATACCGAATAAATCCCCAGCCCAAATAATAATTAAATAGAAATTAAGAATATTTAAATAAGCATTAAAAATATCCTTAAGTCCAGTAGTAATCTTCGGCTTCAACTATATCAGATTTTAAATGTATTTTTGAGTTCCTCACAGCATATGTAAATAGCTGGGCACATTGGGGTTTGAGAAAAATGTGAATCAAACACAATAATGCGAAATTTATTTATTAAAAGCAATCGTTGAATAGGAAGATTCTTTCTAACGTAACTATGCTGCTGTGCTTAATACACCGATTTAATTTTAATCCGTTTGGCAGATGCCATTGTCAATGATCACTCCCACCTCCCCTCAATACTGTTCAACATTGTTTTATTTATTTATTTATTTAGTGGGTTTTTTGTTGTTGTTTTTTTTTCGTCTTCTCATATTAGCAATACAGTGATCTCTGTATTGTAATAAGTCTAAGCGTTCAATAGTCCACTCTCCTTTATGTGTCCACTTGTCAGTGCTGTGAGCTATTTTCCTTGCAAAAAAAACAAAATAAACCCGTTATTGCAATGTTTTTTTTTTTTTGAGCAGTGTTTCTGTTAGAAGTCCCAGCATATAAGAAATGGTGCATGATGACTTTTTAATTATTGAATAGCCAAGAATACCTTTCTGCATCACCTGTAGAAATCTGCAAATATTGGTACCTATGTTTCTCTTTTCCATCAGAGATTTGCCAGAAAAAAATGTTAATATTGTGTAAAGCTATTTTTTCAGATTTTCTTTTTCCCACTTTCACACAGTGACACATTGTGTGTCTGGGTGGGGCGTGAATAACTAGTTTAAACAAATCCATCATCTGGGCCACGCCATGAATAAGCTGAGCATTTTTCTGCTTCCATTTTAATATTTTTTTTTTCTTCTTCAAGTTTACAAAGCCAGTGGATGTTTTAATTTACCTTTAAAGAACAACATTCACCTTCCTGCAGCAAGTGTTTGTGTATAAGTCCTGTTCCTTTCTTTATAATCTAACTTTTTTTTAATGTTGTATAGGCAAATTTCCTGGTTTAATGTGATTATTTGATCTATGAATTGTTTGGTAATGAACATTGAATACAGATTCTAGCAGGGCCCTCAACCCCTCTGTTTCTGTGCGTCAAACTTGTCTTGTTACAATTACATGTTTGTTAGTCCACCCTTTGTAAAGCGCTACGGAATTTGTTGGTGCCATATAAATATAATAATAATATTCCCATAAGTCTTCCTGCACTTACGGTCACAGCTCACACTAGACTAGCTTACTCCCTGATGTCCCGACTGTCCTGTCACTAGCACTAGCAAAAATTCAACATGTGAACCCTGATCCGTTTTTGTTGGAGAATGTATGTTGTATGATAGGCTGAGAGCACTGAGCTAATACAGCGCCAGTATGACACTATCAGTGAGAATTAAAAGTACATTTTTAAATTTAAGGCCAGAGTAGCCGAACTGAAAGCGTAGCTGACTTAGAGAATGTTTCCAGATCAGCTATTTTAACCTAAAATTTGCAAATTACTTTCAATTCTCACTATAGTGAATAAGTCTAGAGCTCCCCTGTTGCTGGGAATTGCATAGTCAAAGGCTCTTGATCTATACATACGCTTCTTCTGTTTTGTCTGCATAGCCTTGCAGACACCAACCTTGAAGTTTGGGATCCCATAACATTATTAATTGTGCGATGCTGATGGAGTTATTTGCCCACGGCGTGGCGGTATGTGCAGCCACTTCATGGCACCATGTTCTGTGTGGGGGAAGCAAACTTCATTTGAATGTATATTATTATTTATACATTTTCTGACAGTTTTGTATAACTTGCTTATAACTATGTGAATATGAACTTGCCATCCATACAGTTAATTGATGGCTCATTAAATCAAAGCTCTCTAAATATTTACACTGATTTTAAACACAATCCTCCATCAGTATGTATGTGGGTGCTCCAAGCTGCAATGAGTATGTAATTCACTTCCATCGTAAAGGAGAATTCCCAGAGAATTTACCATTATGACTGTATATTCATTATTTGTGCCAGCCCCAGACTGGCTCTCAATTTGGTGTGTTTTGACGCTTGGCTGATTACTTCCTTCATCGCTTTCCACTGCTTCTTGCCAACCCTCGATAGCGTGTGCTCCTTTGTAGGTAGACATTTGCATAATCTCGCAGCTCCGGGTCCTATAATAGGGAGACAGACTATTTGTAACTTGCAATATGTGGCTTGATGCCTCTCCGTTGAAAAGTGCCAGCTATTTATGGCACCTAGCGGTGCCAAGCAGCAGCTGCGTGACAAATTATGGATGATATTGTCCTAAAACAATGAGTGCTTTTATAAACCCGTCCAGCTCATCTCGTACTTACGGAGCACATGAGCCGATGCTGATTTTTATGTAAACATGAGAATCCCTATTTGTTCATTTTGAGTTTTGCACTTGGCGTTAATAAGAAGGCTTTGATAATACATTGTCAGAATGTAACCATTTCCCTCCAGGACTGGACAGGGAACACTAAGGAAATGATTTTTGGTGTCTGTGTATTTGTGTATATTTTCATACACAGTCAATGACCACTTTCTTTATGTTTCCAGAACAGCCTTAGTTTTTATTCAATGAGTTGCTGGAAACGCTTCTTTAGGATTTTTCTCCAAGCTTACTCGCCCGGTTCCTGAAGATTTTTGGCCACTCATTCTGGCAGCAAGCTTCATGTCTCATCTCATCCAAAGGTTCTTTTATGGATTGAGATCTCCTGAATATCTAGGCCATTGCAGTCACTATCATCTCCCTGTCAAGTCGATGTGTGCTTTGCGATGTGATGCATTGTCCTGCTGAAAATATCTAAAAGCTAGAGCATTCAACGAACGCTCAAATGGTTTTCCCAGGTCTAATGTATGTCAAGGATCCAATAACTACACCATTACACAAATACCTGCCCGTGTCATTGACGCAAGAATTAGCAGAACTTGTGGTTTACAACAAGCTGGGACCTCGCCATCTACATGATGCAGCAGGAATTGCAATTCATTAGGCCAGGCAATGTTTTTCCAATATTCAATTATGATCATCATGAGCCCTGTGTAGTCTCCTTTTCCTGTTCAGGAATACACATCTGCACATCACGCATTATTTTTGTGTCTGCTTCTTGATGTCTAACCATTCCATTCCTCCAATCTGCAGAACTGCCAATCACTTGATGATTTTTTGCTTAGTACGCTATAGCAGGTTAACGGCTGTAACCACAGAGCATAAAACAAATCACAGGTCAACAGTTTGTTGGAACCACCATATCTGACCTCAACAATCATACCACAGTCAAAGTTGTCTTGATCATATGTCGTCTTCTTCTCAGTGAAGTACCAGGCTCCTAAACGTATTGATCATGTCTGCATGCCTTATGTGGAGATGTCTACACATTACTGCTGTTTGGTTATTTTTATTAAGGAGTTGGTGTGCCTAACACAGTGTCCACTAGGGTTTTGCATTTGTGTCTGTCTCCCAATATGTGTGTCTTACTGCTGATGTTAATGATGCAAATTTTGATTACTCCAACAAAGCACATCTTATAATTGGTTCTTTAGATTTCAACATAGTTATGAAAGTGAGATATATTTGGTTTAATGATGACACGTGGTGAACGTTCTGTTTTATCTCCAGGCTGTGTTTGTTGTGGCATGCAGCGATATCGCTTCAAATTCTTACTGAAACTGCTAGATGGTCATATATATCCCTCGTTCTTCATGGATATGTATAATTTGGTTACTATAACTATAATGAGCTAGGAATGTTTTTTATTTAAGCGTGTAGATCTCTTCTATTCTAAAGTGCATACTTGATCCACACACCATTTAGAATATAGGAAGGGGGGGGAAAGCACAGATAAAAAAAAATATATATTTAAAAAAAAAAAAATTAATAATTAAGTCATGCACTTCATGTCCATAAAATGCCAAACAAGAGTTAAATGCCTTGAATGGCTTGGTTGAACAGGTAGGACATGCAAGTTGCACTTCAGCTGTTCTTGGGAGCATTTGTCCTCAGCAGCAGGAGTACCAACTCTGAAGTTATCCCTCAGTGCGCACTGCGGAGCGTTCAGAAAGAACACTGGTCTGTTTTTTGTGATTTGAAATGCAGGGGGAGGCAAGAGTTCTCAAGTTAGCTCACTTGCCTGGCTAACAGAAGGGACCTCCTTTATTCTTTAATGATAAAAGTGCCAATATTCTCATAGAAATTAGCACTTTTATAAAATGCTTTTTACGTGGGATACTTATAGGTGTGAATTGGTCCTTTAAATACTTATTGGAACACAGTTGGATTTATTCTCTATAACTGGAATTATAAAGCAACATCAATGAAATTGTGCCACAATAGTTCAATTGTAAAAATCCACCAACTTCACTATTAGTCTTTCTGTAAACAGAATTAAGAATTGACCAGGAAATGTTACAAAATAATGGACTATTGAAAAAAAAACATCTAATCATTTCTTACTCGACTGTTATGTCCCAATATCTGAAATTCTGTTGTCTTATTCCTGAATTTAATGTATAGAGTTATGATTTTGCGTGTCTCATTCTGATATTATTAAACTCCTGCGTATGTCCGTGCATTCTGTCCCTATAGGGAATGTTTGTATACATCCTTGTATTGCTTATAAACTGATTTCTCTTTTCATTCCTCCTCTGCAGATCAAACACGTTGTAACGTTTGGATATTAGACGGAGACTTGTACCACAAAGGCCTTTTAAAATTTGCCCTGTCGGCGGACTCAATTAGGGATTCTGTGGCTGTGTTTGTGGGTGACATGTCCAGACCATGGACTATTATGGAGTCTTTGTTGAAGTGGTCTAGAGTTTTACGGGAGCACATAGACAAACTGAAAATCCCCCCGGAGGAAATCAGAGAGCTGGAGCAGAAGAGTAAGTCAAGCTGGAGTTTAGTAGATCCAAACCTTTCTGTTTTGCATCAAGTCCTGCATTGTGTACTAACCTGTGTTAGCTTAAGTAGGGGAAATATTTTTACAGGAAGTGTCACCTAAATGGTGTTTGTACTAGCCTTGACCTTACTGGGGGCAAGTGCTAACACATTTTAAAGCAGTTTAACACTAAAGTGTCCAGGCCCTGCCCAGACCCTGAATGAGGCATGGCTAAGTTAGAGATTACACACTTCCTACTAGCCGTACCAATTCATACCTGCAATGGATGCTGTGATAGGCTGAAAGCAGTCAGCTGACACTCTCCACCAATAACGGCTGCCCATTGCTTCTCAGGTTAATACTTTGCTCAAACAGCACAGAGGGGATGGGCTGCTGGGGACTCTAGTTTAACATTAAACCATAAAAACATTAGAAACAGTGTAACACTGAATAAAAGGACAGCGCCAGGGGATTCCAGATACTGTAACCAGTGCCTACAGTGTCACTTTAAAGAGGAACTATTACTTCACAGGATTTTATCCCCTATATTTAACAAATATTTACTTGTGAGGTCTGAAAAATAAAATTAAATGTAGAAATCCACATGTCTTTATCCTGCAATGGGGCACATTCAGCAGAAAACGTACAGAGAAGAGAAAAAATGTTTTCCATTTCTCCTCTTTCTTTTAATGACAAGTTATTTTCAATGATGCAATTAGCAGATAAGTTACCGTTATTCTGTAAGGATGACCTGTGTGTTTCAAAACACGCAATAAGTTTGTCCATAACATACATCTACAACTCTTTGGGTGGGTGGGGGAGGGTCTCTTCATTGGAGTTCTAGCAGCACAGACATTGAGACTGGTTTTCTCAGTGGAGTAAATCTCTCAAGCTGGACCTAATGTATTCAACACATGGACTGAGAGGAAGCACTGTGAGACATTTGTTCCAGAGCAAGAAAATATATTTGTGATTGTCTTGTAATGTCCTCAGTAATGTAGTAGCCTCCTTTAAACCAATGTATACAGTAAATGGGGAAAAAAAGATTTGGATTTTTATCTCCGGTGTTTGGACATTCCCTAGATGTGGTGTCAAAACTTTTCCCTTCAAGAGAGTGGATTGTGTCATTTTTACTCGACATTTCAATGTCACTTTCTTCAACTTGTACATTTAGCAATTCCATTCAGAATGCACAAGTATATAGGATCTCGCTCCCCTCCCTGGAAAAAGAGACGAGCTGCACATATAGATGTTGAGCTCCGGGGTTGATTGCTGCACGCAGTCTGGTTTACTGCTATCTGTTTACAGAGCCCTTCCTCTCATTACATATGATGAATGACGGTGTGTCTGGGAATTAAACCACTTATTCAATAAACCCCTGCTTGACAGGAGACAGGCAGCATCTCACAGCAGTGCATATGCAGGAGCTTTGAATCTGGACATTTATTATTATATATATTTTTTTATGCATTAAATTAACAGTTTAAGCACCATAACCACTACAGCCTACCATAGTGACTGTGGTGCCAGGAGTGCCCTAGTGCCCCCCGACAGTAAGTAGTCAAACCGTTTGCGGATTGTTTGACAACTAGCATGGAACGGTGCCACTGCACTCCTGGACCATAATCACTGCAGCAGGCTGTAGTAGTTATGGTGCTTGGAATGTTGCTTTAAATATATAATATTTAAATTAAAATATATCCTGCTCTAAAAATAGCAGATGGATTTTTGCCCATTTCCTTTTAATCTAATTTTGAATCCTCTTCTTTAGCACAATAATGGATAAAACCTTACCACTTACTAAATGCACATTTGTCGCAGCATCTTTTTAAGGCAAGTCCTTAGCTGATACCAAATGTTCCTTTTAATGCTATGTGCACACCCTTTTATTTCCAGTATTGTTAGTGTTAAATACCTTTTTACATTCCTCCCAAAGGCGGTTTTATTCCACGTGCAATCTTAGACGCCTCTCACATAGCATTTACTCAGCTCATTTTCCTTTTCACTAAGCTGAATCATAGAAATCTCTTCTCAGTCAGATTGCCGGAAAGAATGGTGATCTGTGTTTTTTTTTCTTGTTATTTGAGCTTACAGGTATGCAAATCAATGTGCTGGCATTTTCTAAATTTGTTGGCAGTTGGCAGACCCTCCATCCCAGCCTTCCTCCATTGTTGCCGAGACATAAAACCCTATAGATGCTGTGAATGCTGCTGTCTCATATTACAAGAGTAGTAAAGCGTTCTTTAGAAAACATAGTAATGTATACAGCTATGACATCCAGACACATTTTCTGTGTTGTGAGAAACCTACCCTTACTGCTTGCAGATTAGCTTACCCTGTATCACAGGGAAACCCTTTGACTGCTTCTTAAAGGAACACTATAATGTAAACGTATACAAACGTATTCCAGACATTGGAGTGTTAAACTAACTATTTAGGTAACCCTCTTTGTGTAGTAAAAAGGTGTTTAAACTTCAATCTGCCATTTAGGAGTTAAATCCCTTTGTTTATGAACCCTAGTCACACCTCCCTGCATGTGACTTGCACAGCCTTCCATAAACACTTCCTGTAAAGAGAGCCCTATTTAGGCTTTCTTTATTGCAAGTTCTGTTTAATTAAGATTTTCTTATCCCCTGCTATGTTAATAGCTTGCTAGACCCTGCAAGAGCCTCCTGTATATGATTAAATTAGAGATTGAGATACAATTATTTAAGGTAAATTACATCTGTTTGAAAGTGAAACCAGTTTTTTTTTTTTTTTTTCATGCAGGCTCTGTCAATCATAGCCAGGGGATGTGTGGCTAGGGCTGCATAAACAGAAACAAAGTGATTTAACGCCTAAATGACAGTGAATTGAGCAGTGAAATTGCAGGGGAATGATCTATACACTAAAACTGCTTTATTTAGATAAAGTAATTTAGGTGACTATAGTGTTCCTTTAACCTCTACCACTTCAGCTGGAAAGCTATTCCATGCATCCACTACCCTCTCAGTAAAGTAATACTTCCTGATATTATTTTTAAACCTTTGTCCCTCTAATTTAAGAGTATGTCCTCTTGTTATGGTAGTTTGTCTTCTTTTAAATATGGTCTCCACCTTTACTGTGTTGATTCCCTTTATGTATTTAAATGTTTCTATCATATCCCCCCTGTCTCGGCCTTCCTCCAAGCTATACATGTTAAGATCCTTTAACCTTTCCTGGGAAGTTTTATCCTGCAATCCATGAACCAGTTTAGTAGCCCTTCTCTGAACTCTCTCTAAAGAATCAATATCCTTCTGAAGATACGGTCTCCAGTACTGCGTACAATACTCCAAGTGAGATCTCACCAGTGTTCTGTACAATGGCATGAGCACTTCCCTCTTTCTAATGCTAATACCTCTCCCTATACAACCAAGCATTCTGCTAGCATTTCCTGTTGCTCTATTACATTGTCTGCCTACCTTTAAGTCATCAGAAATAATCACCCCTAAATCCCTTTCCTCAGATGTTGAGGTTAGGACTATATCAAATATTCTGTACTCTGCCCTTGGGTTTTTACGTCCAAGATGCATTATCTTGCACTTATCCACATTAAATGTCAGCTGCCACAACTCTGACCATTTTTCTAGTTTACCTAAATTGTTTGCCATTTGGCTTATGCCTTCTGGAACATCAACTCTGTTACATATCTTAGTATCATCAGCAAAAAGACATACCTTACCATCAAGACCTTTTGCAATATCACTAATAAAAATATTAAAGAGAATGGGTCCAAGAACAGATCCACGAGGTACCCCACTGGTGACAAGCCCAAGCTTTGAATATTGATTACAATATCAGTCACTCAGCCACTGCCTTACCCATTCAACAATATTGGAATCCAAACTTAAAGATTGCAATTTATTGATAAGCCTTCTATGTGCAACAGTGTCAAAGGCCTTACTGAAATCTAGGTAAGCAACCCTGATCTATAACTTTAGTTAACCAATCAAAAAAATCAGTAAGATTAGTTTGGCATGATCTCCCTGAAGTAAATCCATGTTGTCTCTGATCTTGAAATCCATGTGTTTTTAGATGTTCATCAATCCTATCCTTTAGCATGGTTTCCATCACTTTCCCCACTACTGAAGTAAGGCTTACTGGCGTATAGTTGCCCGACTCCTCCCTACTACCTTTCTTGTGAATGGGCACAACATTCGCTAACTTCCAATCTTCTGGGACTACTCCTGTTAACAATGGTTGGTTAAATAAATCTGTTAATGGTTTTGCTAGTACACCACTAAGCTCTTTTAATAACTTTGGGTGTATTCCATTAGGTCCCAATGACTTATTTGTCTTTACTTTTGACAGTTGAAATAGAACCTCTTCCTCTGTAAACTCACATTTAACAAATGACTAATTTGTCCTTTTTCCTAACTGAGGTCCCTTTCCTTCATTTTCCTCTGTAAATACTGAACTTGAATTAATGCATCTCTATGGGGAAGGTTCAGCTAGAGACACTGAATGCAGCACTAGACTAGGAAGCATTACTAGAGGTGTTCCTTGGTTTTACTCCGCTATTTGTCGGAAGCACCTCTAGTGGCTGTCAGTCTGACAGCAGCTAGAGGCTGCTAATCCTGCATTGAAGTTATTGCCATATCTGCAGAACATCAGTGTGGCCGCTGTGCCTATAGTGTTCCTTTAAATGTAACATCTGGAATTTGCGATGGTGCCTGCTTAGGCATTCTCTTCTCTTCTTCTGGTTCATCCTATAGCTAAGGAATGGTTCCAGTTGTGTTCTCAGGACATAGTATTACTGATTCTTCAAGTATTTTAATTGTTAAATGAGATTTTCATACATAATTTGTAATTTAACCCATCATTGATATTTGAGAGACCGTGATGAGTGACCTTAATCTTCTTGGCTGTATTATATGCAAACTACGTGCTTTGTCTGTTTTTTGTAGGAAGTGTTTTTCTTTTTTTAAAGGATCACTATAGGGTCAGGAACACAAACATGTATTCCTGACTCTATAGTGCTAAACCCACCATTTAGGTGGCTTGCCCCCCTCCCCTCTCCCTCCCCCTTAACCCCCCTCAGAATGGGTTTAAAACTCGCCTTATTTTCAGCTCTCCACGGGTCTCTCCATAGGGAAAGCATTGGATTGGCTAAAATTGGCACCAGGCGGGGCCAAACACAGTTTTGGCCAATCAGCACCTCCTCATAGAGATGCATTGAAGTGCATGGGAACGCTGAACTGCAGGGCTGCTTACTATGCAGCCCTGAGCCAGGAAGCCCCTCCAGTGGCCATCTAAGGAGTGGCCACTTGGAGGTGTCCCTAGGGGCAATGTAAACACTGCCTTTTCTATGAAGGGAACTATTATACTTACCAGAACTACATTAAGCTGTAGTTGTTCTGGAGACTAAAGTGTCCCTTTAATGTTTTAATTTTTTAAGTCAAGTCATATTGTGTTTTTAAATGAGAATCTAATTTATACTCTCTGTGCTTAAAAGAAGTTGCTTTTGAGTCCATTCAGGATTTAAAAAAATATATAAATACATTTTGGTGCCAAAGGAAGCTATTGGCTCTAGAAACTGCTTACATGTGTTAACAATTTCCCTTAGGTGCTGACACATTTGAATGGTTAAGATGAGCAAAGTAAGTGTTCCTTGTAAATACATAGATTACAATCTTGTCAACAGCCTCCTAGACTGTACAAACCAAAAGACTATTAGGCCGCGGTTTTGGGAGCTTCTACTCCTTGCTAAGCAAACTGCGGTTTTGCATTTAAATTAGTTACCAGTCATTGGAACAGGAGTTTGGCAAGATCACAGTAACTTTATTTGCATCCTGACCTTAGTCTGTGTTGTCCGTTCTGTATTATCAAATTTAAACATTAGGCTCACTGTGTGGGTTTTTTTTATTTTATTTTGTTTATCTTTTAATTTTTATATCTATTTTTGTGTGAGTTATGTTGCTTAAACTCCTTTTCTCGTTAGACTTTATTTCATGATAGGAAATGTCCAAGTTTAAAAGGAAAATTCAATTCAATTTTTAAATAGGAAGCAAGTTATATGCAGCTCACACTTTGAATGCTGTGCATAGCTCATAGGTCAGTCTGGGTCCACTAAATGTAGTCCCAGGTATTGATTGATACCTGTGTCTTCTTGGTATGAGCAGGGATTGAACCCTCTTCACACCAAATTGTGTTTCAAGGCATTTAAATACCCATTTAAAAGGTTGTGTGCAGCGCTAACTTTGAGCGCTGCACACAGTTTGTTCAGTTTGGAGCCACTAAATATGCCTCCAGCTGAGCATGGATTTAACATTGGGGATTTAACGTTGGGGTGTCATTATGCCTTAATCGCATGTTTTGTAGAACAAAATCACGTATCCTAACATTGTGAAGAGGTTAACAAAATGATCACAGTGTAAATGTGAAAAAACCCAAACATTAGCAAGTTGTTTAATTCGTTTTACTGATTATATGGCATGTTATCTCTCCAGCCAGTCTGCTCTGTTTACATACAAATTTCCTCTGCTAGTTCTCCCGGAATTTGTCTATAAAGCTTAACTATTGGCGCCTACTCAGTCAAGTAATAAATTCTGAAAAGATTTTTGAAGTGATAGAGTTATGACAGCATTATGTCAATGCCGTATTTTTGTCTCTGCCATGTATCAATAACTGTTCGGTGCATTAGTCAACCACTAATTGTTCTGTCCCTATTTTTCCATACACAAGATTGATATTTTTTAGGTGTTTTCGGTCCACTTGTTTAGTTTATATACACACTTTGTGTTCCGTCATCGAGACTGTGACATCTCCCAGATCAATATAAAAGGTGTTTGCATATGGATATTTCCAGATTGATTTCAGTTTTACAACAGGCTGTATACAATCTGTTAATTGTGATTAAACTGCATTACTTTCTGATCACTGGTCTTCTTTATGACTCTATTCAGAGTTCTGAAATATTAAATTTACACTGGATTTTTTTTTTTTTTTTTTACAGTTGTTAAAGACTTCCAGGAATATTTGGAACCAGAAGATTCATCTGTAGGGTCACCACAGAGAAGAACTGTCTCAGATGAGGACAACATCATCCTTCCGCTTGGGGACAATATCCTCACACATAATCTTGGCATTCCTGTGCTAGTTGTCTGCACCAAGGTGATTATGGGAAATGTTTATTTTTCTTTTTTCTTCAACCTTTAAAATCCAAGCTAGAAAGTCTCTATCCCTGTGCATCCTTTTATTGCAGCCCTTGCTAGATCTCTCCGTTTGGGCAGATAAGGCTGACGGGATATCCCAGCAGAAATTACAGTCAGTCATGACCGCCAACCATATGCTATGCAAATGCTAGAGGAGTATAGAAGTAAAGGAACGCAGGTATACAAATTTGTATTCCTGACCCTATAGTGTTAAAAACACTATTTAGGTGACCGGCCACACCATGCCCTCTTAAAAAGTTAATAAACTTACCTTTATTCCAGCACTGCACTTGGCTCCGCCCCTGATGGTCCTCCACCCCCATGACTGAGATCATTATAACTGGCAATCTCAGCTAATCCAATGCTTTCCTATGGGAAAGCATTGGAATGGCTAAGATCGTCAACTCTGATGATCTCAGCCAAGGAGGCAGGGAGGATGTGGAGCCAAACACCACGCTGGTCAGTCAGCATTGCCTCATATACATACATTGAATACATGCATTTATTTATGAGGAATGCTCAGCGTCTCCATGCACAGAGTGGAGGCGCTGAACGTGCAGCACTGACCCACGAAGTATCTCTAGTGGGCGTCTGACTACCACTAGAGGTGTTACTAAGCAGTAATGTAAACACTGCCATGTCTCTGAAAAGGTAGTATTTACATGTAAATACATGCAGGGACAGACTATACTCACCAGAACAACTACATTAACCCCTTAAGGACCAAACTTCTGGAATAAAAGGGAATCATGACATGTCACACATGTCATGTGTCCTTAAAGGGTTAAGCTACAGTTGTTTTGGGGAGTATAGTATCCCTTTACGATATTGCTACTTTCCACTGTAAAGAAGGGCAAATCTAGTCTGCTCACATGGGAATCTGGTAATAACGGTCACAATGATTGCTTTACTGATTCTACTCAAACATATCCTTCACGTTAATCAATTTCTACTTTGTTTTGTAAATCACTGAAATCTGTATTATTGGTCTCATTGAAATATTTCATTTACAGTGTATAGCTCAATCGCTGCCAGTTCCTTTTTGCAAAGCTAATAATATTCTCTGCAGGTTTGCTGCCCTCGAGCGGAGTGGGTTGGTAAACATGTTGAACAAAGGACATGATTTTAAATGTAATATACACGCGTACAGGGCTCGACATTTCCACTCAACATTGGCGAATAGAAAGTGACCCCTGCTCGGTGTGCCATGGACCCTCTAGACTTGCTATTTGGAATAATAAATGAAAAAAACGAAAAAAATAAACCTTATTCTTAGGGTATTGCTTTTTAGATTTGTCATTAAAGGGATCTAAGGAGAATCTGAGAATGTATTTTTGGGGAAAGCTATAACTGTGTCTCAGTCTCTATGGAAACCAATAATATGTCCCTGCTTATTGCTCCACAACTGAATTGGTCACTATGGAAACCAATAGAATGTTCTTGCTGATTGCTGCACAGTTGAAACAATCACCATGGAAACTCATAAAATGTCCCTGCTGATTGCTTCCTTATTGTCAGTCTGCCCCATAAATGCTCTTTGCATATACATATCCAATAAAGCCTTTCTCTGTGTATGGGTAGTTCTGGGCTTATATTAACCACATACAATCCCAGCGGTATTAGTGTCATTCAGCACTGCGGTGACATTTTTAAAATCACTTTAATATCAAAGATATTTAAACACTGCTTAGTTACTGTTTCTGTGTGTTGTGTTCCAGTGTGATGCAGTGAGTGTGTTGGAAAAGGAGCACGACTACAGCGACGAGCACTTTGACTTCATTCAGTCACACATCCGGAGGTTTTGCTTGCAGTGTATCCTTTTCACAGCTTTTAGTTCTTGTCATGTGACCAGATTATCACTTTCTCTACTGTTCTACCAGTATCTGCTATGAATGGGGCTAGTGTAGGGACAGCTATGTGAATGCTAAAAGAAGAATACACCAAGCAGCACAAGTATAGCTCTCAGATCCCATGCTAATCAGCCTTGACATCAGTAGCATCTGGCTTTGGTTCATGAAATCGCGTTAAGCTGTCAGACGTCCCCTCCTCCTAGTGTCTGCTTCTCTGTTTGCAGAGACCGGACTTTGTCCCAGGTGTAAAACCCGATGTGTACAAAATCTGCATCCGGCTCTTGCTATTTCTCATAGCATGCTCTTGGTGACTTCTGTTATTTAGTTTTAATTACATTTAGTGTGTATTGTTTTATTTTTTTTATTATTATTATTATTATTATCTGATTAAACACCTAAAGAGTCCAGTAAGCAACTAATACGAGCATTTATCTGATTAATTGTTTGTTACCGAATAAAGAATTCACTATTTTTTTTAATGCTTTGTATTAATATTTTTTTGAAGGATCACTATAGGTTCAGGAACACAAACCTGTATTTCTGACCCTATAATGCCAACGCCACCATTTAGGTGGCTTGACCCCCTATAAAAGTTTAAAACTCACCTTATTTCCAGCACTGCGTGGGTCCGCCGGCGCGGCCTCTGCCCCCTTTGTGACATCTCTGCCCCCTTTGTGACATCATCAAAATGGGCGATTTTAGCCAATCCAATGCTTTCCCATATAATTGGCACGGGGCGCGGCCAAATGCCGTTTGGGCCAATCAGGACCTCCTCATAGAGATGCATTAAATCAATGCACCTCTATGAGGAAAATTCAGCGTCTCTATGCAGAGTGTGGGAACGCTGAACGGCAGGGCTGCCTACTGTGCAGCCCTAAGCCAGGAAGCCCCTCCAGTGGCCACTTGGAGGTGTCCCTAGGGGCAATGTAAACGTGTTTACATCAAAATGCCTGAAGAAAACTATTATACTCACCAGAACATCTACATTAAGCTGTAGTTGTTCTGGTGACTATAGTGTCCCTTAATTTTAAAATTCAGTAGTGTACAGCAGGAAGATGAAAAGTATAACTAATTAATGACAAGTGGTGAGACGAGATATAGAGGATCCTGTTCCATACCTTCCGAATTTATAAATGGACACTTTAAATTTTAGGGGTGGGAGTGAGGTACTGCCAAGAACAATGTATCTTATTTACACAAACTGATTTCTGAACACTTTTTTTTATTGTAGTTTAAAGACACATTACTTGGGAGTGTTATTGTTGTGGAGCTCTGTTTTACACTCAGACACACCAACAATGTAGAGCTCCTAGAAAAGAGGGACACAGGGATTGAAAAGGACAGAGGAATATGGGTCAAAATAGGGACTGTCCTTTCTAAATAGGAGCAGTTGGGAGGTGTGTGGTACAAGTGAGCGTTTCGGTAGAGTGTTTTTTTGCAGAGTAGGGTATTCTGAACATGTAGCAGCCGTAGAGAAATCTTTTAAGTGAACGTTTTAGGATGGGGAAGCAATCAGAGCACAAATGAAGGTCTGGAGGGATGAAATGGGTAGTTCCTAATTAAGGCAGTAAAGTACCTTGTATTCATTTGTACAGAGGAAGGACATGCTTTTGAATTCTTAAATATATAGGTGGACTGTATAAGGATTGACAAAAGGGGCAAGGCTTGAGAGGACCTGTAGATAATGTTAAGCTTGGCAGGATTCATTACAGACTATTAGGAGGTTAATGTAGATATATTTATGGCAATGTAGATCCATATAGATTATGCAGTCCCGGTGCGCTCAGTCTATGATTGCTATACAACTTCTGTTTTTTTCTTAGTGTATGACAGCAAAGGGGCTGTCAGAAGTTTAGTAATGGAAAAACACCATTTATTTATTTATTCATTTATTTGTCAAACTGTTATAAAACAGACGGACTGCACCCAAATTCTTCTTTTAATATTGCTTTTACAACAAGCCAGAGTGGCTATGGTGCTTTGAGTGTCCATTTAATCGTCTTTAGTCACAATAACACTTATAGGAACACTATAGTCACCTAAATTACTTTAGCTAAAACAGTTTTAGTGTATAGATCATTCCCCTGCAATTTCACTGCTCAGTTCACTGTCATGTAGGAGTTAAATCACTTTGTTTCTGTTTATGCAGCCCTAGCCACACCTCCCCTGACTATGACTGACAGAGCCTGCATGAAAAAAAAATGGTTTCACTTTCAAACAGATGTAATTTACCTTAAATAATTGTATCTCAATCTCTAAATTGAACTTTAATCACATACTGGAGGCTCTTGCAGGGCCTAGCAAGCTATTAACATAGCAGGGGATAAGAAAATCTTAATTAAACAGAACTTGCAATAAAGAAAGCCTAAATAGGGCTCTCTTTACAGGAAGTGTTTATGGAAGGCTGTGCAAGTCACATGCAGGGAGGTGTGACTAGGGTTCATAAACAAAGGGATTGAATTTCTAAATGGCAGAGGATTGAGCAGTGAGGCTGCAGGGGCATGTTCTATACACCAAAACTGCTTAATTAAGCTAAAGTTGTTCAGGTGACTATTGTGTCCCTTTAAAGCCATGCTTGATTTAGAATGTGTATGTGCTGGATTTCCTTAAATAGTTTTTGCTAGATGGAGCTGCCTTAATTTATACGTCTGTTAAGGAAGAAAAGAACCTGGATTTGTTATACAAGTATATTGTACATAAAGCCTACGATTTCCACTTTAACACTGCTGCCTTAGTGGTGGAGAAGGATGCTGTATTTATGTAAGTCCATTTCATATTACATCACTCATTTTCATGCCCCTTTCTCTATGTTCTATAATTCATATATTGGTGATTCCCAGCCCAGCCTTCAAGTTATAGCAGGTCTTTTCAGTATTCACTTTGAATAAATTGGGAAATTCATAAATTCAGACCTGTTGGTGTGTTCGTATTAAAAGGACACTCCAGGCACCAAAACAACTTAATCTAAATTAAGTTGTTATGGTGCGAGGAGGCACTCTTACTCAAGGGGTTTTACCCATTTTGAACAGTTTAACCCCAAAGTTGCCTCCAGCGGCGGTCCCAACTCCCCCCCCAGGCGTCATCCGGTTTCTGAAGGTTCACTTTCAGGAAGTGTGGAGTGCCGCCGCTGATTGTCTGTCTGAGAACAGCCAGCTGACGATCTCAGCCAATGAGTGACTCCCCATTCACACAACTAAAAGAAATGTACTTTTTCGAAGCCAGTTTTGTGAAGGGGGGTCATTGATTTGCTGAAGGCTTTAGCTTTAGCTGCGCACCTGGCTGGCGGCACTCCACACTTCTGAAAGTGTAATTTCAGAAGCTAGCTATCACCTCTGGAGGCAGCTTTATGTTAAACTGTTCAAAAACGGTTTAACCCCTTCAGGTAAGAGTGCCCCTGGGGGCCTCCTGACACCATAACAACTTAATTTAGCTAGAGCTGTTTTGGTGGCTGGAATGTCCGTTTAACAGTAATAATAGTATTTTGACACATGTAATTATGTGCTGTGCAGCCTAATTAGCCAATGTAAATACATTAACCCTGTTCACCTTCCCTCTTAGTCCTGCTGGTTGGGACAACGAGAAAAAGATTGGGATTTTGCATGAAAATTTCTCAACCGTTAAGCCTGAAGATGCCTATGAAGATTTTATTGCGAAGCCTCCTGTTAGAAAGGTAACCCATGCTCCTGTGTGTGTGAGCTGTGTGAAACTGCTGCGTTTCGCTTTCTCCAAGTTAACATGTGTATGTCTTGGCAGTTGGTTCACGATAAGGAAGTCGCTGCTGAAGATGAACAGGTGTTCCTAATGAAACAGCAGGTATGTTGATTTATTTAGTTTTCATGTTAACCAGTTATGGCAACTCTTAATTTCTTTACAAAATGCAGGCGAGATATAATACGCCTTGGTAGAAGATTAAGATACTAATAGTTCACCAACATTTATTGTTTGTGATTTTGCAATTGTTCCTGGGCTTTTGGTTTTAAAGTAACATAATTAGCTTTTTAAAGTGGTCACTGATTTTCTTCTTTTGTCAGTCACTGCATATGACATTTATATCAATCCCTTTCAATTTAAAGGGATACTATAGGCACACAGACTACTTCAGCTCAATGAAGTGTTCAGGGTGCAGTTCCCCTGTTGTTTTTAGTCCTGCAGTGTAACCATTGTCTTTTCTGAGATGCCAGCCACCAGAGGCGATTGCACTGCTATAACAGAGTTCGATTCGGTTATGTGGCGCTCAGTGTCCTAACTCATTGCATGAATACTTCGAACGTCCTCTAATGCTGATCATAGAGAAACATTGGATTCAGTGCTTCTCTATGAGAAATATTGGAAAACAAAGAAGCGACTCCTGAGGGATATTATCATGGGAGTGGGGGCAGCTACACCAAGTCTAGAAGCTGGAAAAAAGGTAAGTAAAAAATCTTTTAAAATTTAATTGAAGGGGAACCAATAATCTAAATGGGGAGTAGGGCACTACAGTGTTGGGTATACATATTCAAGATGTAGGCTATTTCAAGTTGGACTTGAATATTAAAAACACATTAGTGCGGAATTTGCTGGTGCCTTATAAATAATAATAATAATGTGATAAATGTTGGAAATAAGAGATGAAAGGAGCAATTTGACTAATTCTATTTCTAATTTAGATTTTTCTTTTTGCAGTCTTATCTTTCAAAGCAGCCAGCCACTCCTACAAGAGCTTCAGTAAGTAGTTATGGTTTTATGAAGTGCTCAAATACCAAAATATTGTTTTCCCATGTCAGGACAATGTTGATGATTTCTGTCAATAATCTCCCATTATTTTTCACGTGCATTCTGGTGTTTTGGTGCCCTAAAAGTAATTCTTCGTGACAAATATCCTGTGATATAGTTAGTTGAGACTTATTGTTGTTTGCACCAGGTGTTAAAGGACACTCTGTACAACCCTCAATTCAATGTACAATTTTTATAAATCTTGGATCTGAAATAGAAGGCCAATTAGAGAAATAGGGGAAGCAGTTTTCAATTGCTCTCTTTTCTTGTTCTCAAAGCAGCGGTCTGTTCCACTAATTCTGGGGAGAGAACGTACTCTCTGCCAAAGTGGTATATAAACACGAAGAACTATTTTACATTCTATTACAGTGTGTAACCACGTTTTGGAGATTTGGGATTTTTTTTTTGACACAGCTTCTTTAAAAGTAGCCTGTTGTCTGTACAGTGCTAATGTAAAGTGCATACGATTTAAAAAAAATAATGTATTTAAAGATTGAGAATGGCTTAATTTGCACTACTAAAATTGCAAGTAAACGTAGAGTTCCAAACCATAACTACTGCTTGGCTAGAAATCTGCATATACAACCTGGAAATACTTTGTTTGCCAAGTTTAGTCAAGTTATGTTTCCCTTTGTGTTGCCGATCTCTTGTACTAAAACCTAGCCTGAAGAGTTTTATAGGGGGAATCGCAACTTATTTCTCTTGTCTTCATTGATGTGCATGGAGTGGAAACCCGTTCAGTCATTTTTTATTCCACTTTTTAGTAAATAGACCTACCCTTTGCCTCCTTTGTTATTCTGGCAGGCTCCATTCACAATATATTTATAGGGGTGATGACTCTTGTATTGTGGCATTAAACTGTTATGTGAATGTTTGTCAGAATACTCCTTGTATTTACATGGATCAGACCCAGAGCAGCATGACAGTCACAAGCAAAGAAGTGTGCGCTCTTATACAGAACCGTTATTCAACTTATTCCAGCCTCACAGCATTAACTCTATGACTGCTGAGAGAGGCCTAGTGCTCTCTATGGGAATGCTTCTTAGTGCTTATTCCAGACCTATTGGCATGGAATTGCCTGATATTTCCTGTCCGTGATTACACAACATGTTCTCCAGCTCGTAACCTATAAAAAGAATCTAAAGTTTCTAAGAAATATATTTGTTATATATTATGCATGTAATCTTAATGTAGTTTATATTTTAATGTCTGACTGACTTGGCACAAGCAGAGCATACTATGTAAATTAATTTAACATCCATGGTGCCATTCACATGTACGCCACTATAGAAGAAATGGCTAAACATGCATACACTCCTATGGCATTTCTCAGCAAATGCCTGATTGCTTATTTGCAAGTTTGGTGCTTAATGGGATGAAGACCTCTTGCTGTGTAATAAAGTGCTGCAGGTATGGGGTTAAGCAGGCAAGTGTTTGTTTATTTTGGCATAGCAGATCTTTTGTAACAAATACATATCTATGTTATAATTTTTAATATATTTTTCCCTTTTTTTTGTTTGCAGGAGTCCCCAGCCCGGGCTCCCACCGGATCTCCCAGAACACCAGGCCGCTCTGGTGCCACCACTGTGCCCAGTTCTTCACCTATGGCAACGGTCAAAAAGCCAGATCCAAATATGAAAAGTAAGTCCATCACTTCAGAATATACATTGTATATTGCATGGGTGCTAGTAATGCGGGGAACATACTGATTGCATCTCTCTCTTTTGGGAGAGCCCATAGGTTATTTTAAAATGTATGTAGCAGTAAATAGTAGAATTCTGTAGCAGGCAGAATTAAATCAAATCATTTTCTTCCATCCCTTTCTCTCTCAGCCATATCCTATTCGATTTAAATACCAATAATAATAATGCTGAATAACTTTTTTTTTGAAGCACAATATTTTTTCCCTAAATATGTTGCTCAGAATTGTCTTCACTTATTTGAAAAAATTGAATTTTCCCAGCAATTGAATGTAAAATAAGTTGTCTACTTTTACTAACGTATGTTTTTTCTCCTGACCTCCCTCGTTGTATTCACATTTGCTATGTCCTCCTCGCACATGTTCAGTAATTCTTCCCTAAAAACCAGATTTGAGATTACTTTTCTGGATGAAGAGGGGGGTTTCTCATCTGAAATTAAAATTAGGGGTTGAGGGGGTGGAGGGGTGTGGGAGGGGGAGACTATAGTGCCAGGACAACAACTTTTTTTTTTTTGGCACTGTAGTTTCCCTTTAAGTTTAATCTTTGCTTTGTATTCTAGTCAGCTCTGTGTATGTGTATATATGTATGTTTCATTATGGAAATTCTATTTACCATATTCCAATGGTGACTTCCTTGATCCTAGCGATTTCACAGTACAAGCTGGTACTGTGCTAGTGTGTAGTCTCTGGAAACACTTGATATAAGCATCACTAATTGAAAAGTGGTGCTTTTCAGAAGGGTCCTTTTACAGAAGGGTCCTCACTTGCAAATCTATGGAAAAACCTTTCTGTAAACTTTGTTTAACTTTTCTACTAGCCTCACTTTTAGCCAATCCATTCCATAGACCGAGTATGTGTCTTTGCAAACATCACCAAAGCATCACTTAACTTTCCACATAACTCATCTGATCTCAAATGCCAGAGTGGCATGCCTCACCTCCCCAATTAGTGTTTTAACTTTCATGTACACCCTCGTGTTTCATTGATGCTCTTACATAACACCCACAGATGCAGCCGCCAGTGAAGGTGTCTTGGCCAGTTTCTTCAACAGCCTGCTGAGTAAAAAGACTGGATCCCCTGGAAGCCCTGGAGGAACGGGTGCAGCGGGAACCAACGCGCAAGGTTCTGCCAAAAAAACAGGTAGGTCAAATTTTAGCTAGTGCAATAATTACCATATTTTTCAGAATATAAGACACACTGGAACATAAAGATGCACCCATATATTGTGACTAGAAAGTTAGGGGATAATTAATAAAATAATCTGCACCATAATTACAGTAAAGTTTAGTTTATAGGTGTAGAGGCATGTAGCGTGTGGGTATTAGGGATGTATGTGTTTATAGGGGATGTAGTGTACGTGTGTGAGTGTAAGGGATTCAGTGTGTGGATCTATAGTGAATGCTTTATAATGTTCTAATGGGGGGACATTTAACCAATGAGACAATTACAGATTGTTAAAGGTAGAAGAGGTTGAGGAGGTCCTTTGAAGTGAGGTAAGTGGCTGAGCAGAGTAACAAACACATGGTAGTGTTAACTGTGTTTCAAAGGTCCACTTTAACCTTTTCTCTGCCAAAGTGCAGTGATGCTCTCCCTTTGGTGCCAGAGAGTAACTCTGCCTTGCACAGCTCCCTATTGAACTGACATTATGACACATTTATCATACCTTGCTGTCCTTGCTTATAAAAAAAAGTTTCTTCATAACGGATAGGGCATGTCCTATCGATAAAGGAAATGTTTGTACGGTAACTTCAGCCTCTTTATGTTATACTTTTCTTTATAATTTAAAAAAATATACTAGGGCGGACAGGAAAACAGGCGTGCTGTCTGATAGACGCACTCAATGCTACAATGGACATGTAAGGTCCTAAAAGGAGTATTGGCCTCCTGTTATTGAAAATGCGAGAGAATACTGTCATGCACAATGTAACAATATATTGTAATATTATGATTCATTATGTTTTCAATGTAATGTACTGCCTTGGAATAAATAAAGAATAATAAAAAAAAAGTTTCTTCATTATAAAGGAGACCTTGAGGCGTATTTGTAAAATAAATCAATACTAACTCTTGTATAAACTAGTGCAATGCATTTGTTTATTTTTTTATAACAGCCAGTAATACTATATGATTCTATTTATTGAAGAGAAAAAAAAAGGATAAGAAAGGTTATCAACTATCTATGAAGTTTTGTATGAGACGTATAAACAAGCCATTTTTAAAGTCTTCATGTTGTTTCTGTTGTTCTTTTTGGCACAGGACAGAAAGCTGTACTAACCAACGTCCAAGAAGAGCTGGACAGACTGACACGCCAGCAGGAAGCTGTATTAGCCAACTCTTCCCCGTCTGAAAACGAGGCCTGATCTGCTTGGAAAGCTTACGAATACAAAACACTTATGTAAATGACCAAATAATAATGATGTATAACGAACTGAAGATTCTGTGGCTGCTCTGACACAGCGGATACTGTAGGCTTCCACCGTGGAAAGAGGCAGGCTTAACAGCTTGTCGCAAGCGTTACACGCCCTTACAGGAAGTTACCTAAAACATGTCACCTGATTAACCTCTTGTGCAGGAAAGCGCCCGCATCACTCTGTTTCTCTGCACTTTGTGAGCACTTAATGGGCTGTATTTGCAGGCTAGCCCACTTCCTAAGGGTTTAACGATTCTTCGATTCTCAGACGGCGATTTCCTGTTTAGTTTTTAAACAGACTCTGCTGTGTTACATCCTTAAAGTTATAGGCGGAGCAGCAAAAGGGAGATGAGCGTTAGAATGTTGGCCAGAAGTAGCGAGGGCTCTAGAATGTCGGGGATGGAGGGTGGATGTGAGTTAGAATCAGAAACCAGTGCGTTTAACACCACTCTTCTTCTTTTTTCCCCCTTCCTTTTTCTTACACTTCTCTTGGGATGCTTTTTGGAAAGGGGTACAGTAATCTTTGTGTTTGCTGTTGCTTCAAATTAACACCAAATCCCTCCCCATCTAAAACTGAAACAAAATGACAAGAACGTCTTTGGGGGGTTGTAACAGGGAAAAAATACGCTGGGATTACATGCAGGGATACAGTATGGTGGAAGGAATGCTGGGTTAAAGAAAGTGTCTGCTCAGTTCCAAGTGCCTGGAACAGTTCAGGATGTACCACTAGGAGGCGCTTGAAATAATTATGCACTGTATTAACGGTCACCTTTTTTATTTATGTATGCATATACACACATGCGCAAATGCTCTTGCAGAAACAGGCTTCCTATAGTCTGTTCTCAGTTCTACGTTATACACTCTCCTACTAACTCTTTGTTTCTGCATGTGTTACAGACCAGCTATTTTATTTTTATTTTATTGAAACAGACTTGATTTTGAAGTTACTTGACAGCCGCAGTAGCACAAATATATATATATAATTTTTTTATTATTTTTGTTTTTTTTTTTTTGCATGGTATTTTAAAAACCACAGGAAATGTTCACTTCACAAATGCCAATGGCATTGCTTCACAACAACTTCCAAACAGAAGGTATCTAATTCACAAAGAATAGCATTGTTTTTAAAAAAAAAGCATAATAAAACAGGACCAGTTTCCCCAGAGCCATGTCAGGGATGCTGTAAAGTGAATGTTGTTCTGCAGGGTTTATCAAAGGGGTTGCCAACAGCAGGAGTAGCTGTTGAGAACTAACATTACCTTTAAGGTTGGAAAAGCATCATGGGGATTATAGGTTTGTAATAGCTGCAGGGTTAATCTTTTGGCCAACCCTGATTTACAGATCCCTTGTTAACCCTTCTACCTGCTTCTGTGGCTGGCGGATCTTGTGATTGTTGCAGCAATTGGGAGAGCCATAAAAGACTATCCTTAATTCACAGCATCTAAAGTGCACTTTGCTGCTTCTTAACGGCTCCAGGCTACATTCATGGTTTATCAAGGCATTTTCCATAGCCCAGTGGGGTTAATACTTTGGAGTGCTTTAAAATACAGTGGATGAAGGGTATATAATCTGTCAATCAAACATTTCCCTGTCTTCATTAACACACGACATGTTCAGCAAAGCTTTGCGCTAAACCAAGTACATGAAGTCCCTTTCCTGTCTAGCGATCTGTTCGATTAGTTTTTTGTAAATAACACCACCACTCTTGCATAGGTAATGTGCAAACCACACTTACTTGTAGGTTCACTTGCTTAAATCCTGTGATTTAACGCTCGCGGTGCCATGGTATATGGAAAACTCTCTCTTCTGACACTCAAATGGTTAACAGTTTCTCAACAACAACAAAAAAATGGCCTACCTTTATTTAACTGGCATTTGTGTGGTTAAATAGCAGGGCACTTTCCTAACTCCTGTTTCCATGTACTGGAAGTGTTTTGATAGAATGTAAAATGTGTTAAAAAGAAGCTTTGTGTAAAGACCACTATATATAAATGTTAATGCTTTTTATTTTTATTTTTTGCAATGTCCAATTTGAATATATTTTAAACACTATCTAATTTACTAAAAGTACATAACAACCTCTAAAGTCATAATTTCCTAACTCTAGTCTTCTTAATATGGAACGATTTCTGTATTTAGTGTTAACTGTATATCTGCCAAGCAAGACTACTATAAAGGTAGATGTACTCTGTGTATATGTGATGCAGTTCTTTAGGGTGTACTTGATCAAGCAGAGAAGGATTAAGATCCCCAAATGCCCAAGGCAGGTTACCTGCTATGGGGGGCCCCCATTCTTCACATAGGGATGGTTAATGGAACCAGTGAAATTCATGGTGCCGGGGCCCCATTCTAACCTCCTGGGCTGTAGGAAGTCACTGTATAGTTAGTCCTGCTATGTGACATACAGTGAGTTCAACACCTCAGGATAAATCTAGCTTAAAGGAGCAATGAAATTATGACTGATATGTCTGTACATTTTCTTTTTGTTATTAATATTATTGCTATAAAACAATATAGGCCAGTGGTCGCTTACATTGGCATCGCAAATGTTTAGGAGCTTCGTTCCTCCATTACGCTCTGGATATTTGTGAAACTGCACTAAATTATCAGTAATGCATTAATATAATTTGCTTTTATGTAGATTAACATGCTGAAAGATCTAATAGCTTAGTAAAAACTATGAGATGTGCTTGTTCTGTATTTTACAATTAGATAAGGCCAAGTCTTTTTTTTTAAAAATGGGAAATCAATGTCACAGACTGGATTTGGAGAATGGGGGGAAGCGTTAAAATAAAAGCTGGACTCTGATTTACTTTTAAGCCAATTATATTCCGAGCTAAATTCAAAGCACGGTCAGTGACCTGCAAATGCAGAGTTCTAATGGATGCCCACTAGTGGTTATTCACTAATGTGTCAATTGTTGTGAATTAAAAAGTTTAGGTCAAAAGAGAAATGTTCCAATTCTCATAGCTAGGCCCAAAGTGGAATTCACTTTAAATTTGCCAAGAATTTTACACCATTTGGAAACAATTCACTATCCTGGTGTATTAGGATATAACTCTTGGACAGCTATGTCTGTACTACAAGTCTTCACATCTTTAGCCTCTATTTTCATTTCTTTTCAAGAGTGATTGAGATTTTAGTCCAGTATTAGGCAGAGAGTTACTATTATATCATATCAAAAAGGTTAACCAGATAAATATACAACATTCCTTTTCTAAAAGATTAGAACTAAGTATACTGTTACCTTACTAGAAGGAGGAATGAAGCGGTTATTATTCTTTTATAAGTATTCTTTAAAAGTAAAGTTGCTTCAGGATTTCCAAATGCATGTAGGTACACTCCAAGTACATGAATACAGTGTAAGGCTTTTTCTTGTCCCTGTCTTCTAGTGTGTTATTTTGTCATAGTAGCAGTAATTTGCTTAGTAGTGTCATTCATGTGTTTTCATGAATGAATCTACTTGGACAGCTGAGCCACATATTTTAAGAACCTATGCTAAGCAGATGGTCATGAGATGTGTGTCATGTAAAAGTTAGGATTGGCTGAGATTACTTGGCCACTTCATGATCCCTCTAAAATAGATGTTAACTATTGGCAGCAAACCGTGCATGTTCAGAACTGTACAAGTCAAAAACAAAATAGCTTGCCCTTGCTCAGACCTCCAACAGGTTTTTGCCCACGTGTGCCATTAGAGAGTTTAGACGTATCTTTTATTTTTCTTGTTTTTTTTAATGCCTTATCTCTAAAATGTGCTAAAAATGAGGGTCTGCTCTCGCCAGTATCTTAACTTGGAGCAACATATTAACAGCTGCCTCCTGAAAAACTTTCAAATTGTTTTGACATTGATTTTCATGCAGATAGAAACATGAGGCAAATATCTGATAGTGGAGCAGTTACCATGGGACGCTCCTGCTGATTGCATCAAATTGTTAAACTTTCCACTGCTTTACTTTGAACAAGAAACCTCTGTGTATGTAATTGGCTCCCCAAAAACATCATCAAAAACCACTTTACTTTTTATGTTTATTTTTTCCAAATATAAAATGTAAATTGGTGTAGTTCTTCTTTTACTTAATAAATAGGTAAAACATCGTTTTGTTAAATGTCATCTTACAGTACTTTATTTTAATGTTTACCTGTAACTTTCTATCACTGGCCATTTCTTTTTTTTCCATAAACACTAGAGCCAAAATCCTACCTTGCAGGGAGCCTTTATATATACTTAAATTACAAGTTGTAAATAAACAAAGAATGCAGTGTCTTTATATTTTAATATTTAAAGGGAATGTATTATAAAGGATTTTGTTTTATATTCACGTTTTATTTCAAAGAATATGTAGCAGTCTTTTATTTTCAATCAGAAGTCAATATTTATTTATTTTTGTTCTGCACTACTTTTTGGTTGGGATTTATCAATATTAGCAGAGATTGGATTCGTGCTATCGATAAAGAGCCAATTGTAACATTATTTTCATTATTTTTTTTTAGTGGTTACTATAGGCTTCTGAAACATTTATTACCAATTTAAAAGCTGCCTCAAGCTGTCCATTGGCTGTATTCTAGCCTTAATTTTTCCTTTTTTCTTCCTAAATTCACCTTGTTTGTATTCACATTCTGATTTTTGGTAGGTGATGCACATTTTCTCATTAATTTTATTTGGCTAAAAAAAATCCTGCTTCAATCACTTTCCCCCTGGTAAAAAATAAAATAAAAAACCTCTTGTATTGCTGAACCCCTTGTGCGAGGAAGAGGAGGTTATCCTAAAGAAACCTAAACTATTACATTTATATAGGCCTGATTGGTAGCTGCCCAACCTGTCTGAATTTGTTAATTGTTAAAGTGAACTGCTATTTAATTAAAATCAAGGTGGAAATAATGTATACCACATGGCAGAATTAGCTTGGACAGTTTTAGACACACTATAAGGACCGCTACAGTTTATTGTAGTAGTTATGGTACACAGAGTCCCTGATGTGATGTCCCTCCAGATTTTGAGTGGATTGACAAATATTGGGGCTCCCGCAGCACCCACCAATCCTTCTGCCACCAAGATATCGTAGATTTCATACTACTGCAATGTTCATGGAAAACTGTCCACATTTTGTTAGCAATGATTTGTTGTAAATGCTGGGGGCAATATAGCCCATCGCTCTCAGCCAATCGTTGCAGGATTGGATGGATAGCTTTTGCTGTTAGTGTACCTTTAGCAATAAATATTGGTGTTTATTAACGAAATCTGCTTAGTTCCAGTGCTACGGGAGTGGATGGAAGTACAAAAATAATCATTTTGTATTAACAAACCTTCAAACAGAATAAAGAAAGTGAATGAATGGTTTTTGTGCTATAATTGGCAAAGACCTGAAAGTCCATCAGGCAGCTGCAAGACTCCCTGCCTGGTAATGTTAATACTTAGTCTCACACTGGGTGCCTTGACTTTAGCAAGTTAAGAATATATTTTATGCCTTGACCCATACACAGAATTAAACCGAATTCCTTACCTCTGTCTAATGGTTTGGGTAAGATTATGATAATTTTTCATCATTTTCCCTTGCTTCGTAACAATTTGCTTGATTAGGGGATGCAACAATGTTGTGAATTACCATATTTTACATCCTGATATCCATGCAATTTTAATGGGCAATAATAGTTAAAAGAAGGTTCCTGCCCCTTTAAATGGTTCAACGCTAGAACTGCAAAACTTTCAGTTTAACCATTTGAGTGCCGGTTGGGCGCACAATTCCAGTTTCTCTGACATTTGGCAGATTTAAAATAATTGGTTAAGATATCAGAACACATTCTTAATGAAAAGAATGAATTCACAAAATGACACTTCTATGGCTGTACACAGGTCTGGTTTTAAAAGGCGGTATGATTTGTCTATAGTTCTGTTTAATCTGGATATTGGGACTTTAAACTTGGATATCTTTGTATTTTGCTCCTATTTATTTGAATTAAAAGTGACTGTTTTTTGTACTTGTCAGAGCAGGACCCATCACCTCACCGTTTAGTAACTTAAAGACTATTATCTGGGCCTGATAGCCCACCATCCTTAGTCCTGTAATAGAGCAGTGATACAGTAACAGGGTGTGGATTGTAGTCACGTGGAAGAGCTTCTCCAATGCTGGCATAGCTAAAGAGGACTTGTTTCAGGCTTCAATAAAAATATCATTGCAGAATGGCTCGTCTGTGTGGTCATTGCTGTTATTCTATACAAAACAGAAACTTACTCATGGAAAAGAGCTACACTCCCTCTTGTGGCAGAGTTGGGCACTGACTGCTGAGAACTCATACATATTCTATTGGGTTTAAACATTTGAAGAATATCTTGGTTGAAACTTTCAAATAGAGTTGCACTTACTTTGAGTGTCTCCGACAGTACCAAAAATGTTTCCTGAACAGGTATCATCCCTACTTACAGCAACTTAAAAACCTAACACCTGACCGTTCTGCAGTTGCATGGATCATGCTGAAATTAAAGGGACTCACTTCACTGCCATTTAGGAATTAAATCACTTTTGTTTCTGTTTATGCAATCTAGCCACACATTCCCTTGCTGTAATTGACACACCCTGCATGAAAACTGTTTTAATTTTCAATCAGATGGAACTTACTTGAAAAGTTTGTATTTCCTGCTCTGTAAAAACTGTAATTATATACATAAAGCTCCTGCAGGGTTTATGAAGATATTAACAGAGCAGGAGATAAGAAATTCTAACAAATAGAATTTGCAATAGATGAAGTGTAAACATTAGATGACTTTTCAGGAAGTGTTAAGGAAGGCTGTGCAGGTCACATGCAGGGAGGTGTGACTAGGGCTGCATAAACAAAATTACGTAACTCCTAAATGGAAGAGAATTGAGCAGTGAGACTGCAGGGGCATGATCTATACACCAAAACTGCTTCATTCAGCTCAAGTTGTTTTGGTAACTATAGTGGCCCTTTAAATTTCTACGTTACCAAGTGCTAATCTGTCCAACTTTGCCTGGCAGTTATAGGTTGGGAATACCGGGGGTTTAGATATTCAAAATATTTAAAAAAAAAAAAAATTCTTCTCATTTTTAGAGCATTACTAAATAAAGAAATTAATGGTTGCTTTCAACCTACATTGTCCCTTACGTTTTCCATATATTCCAATGAAGGGTGTTCTACATCACCTTTAGTTCCTCAAATAAAATACATTGTTCTTTTTGATATGTATAATATAATGACCCGTTAATCAAAAAAACTACAACTCCTGAATTAAGGCTGCCATTTTGAGGAAAAGCCTGCAAGACTTTCGTGTCTCTTCCCTGGCCAACTTATTTTCACTGCTATTTGCCTTAATTACTCCTCGACATTGGTCCTCTCCATATAATATTCTTGCATAGGTACAGCGCCCAAATCAGGGAGTGATTACAGAGAAATCTAATCGAGTGGAGTCATTTGTTCCACGTTTTAGTAATATTATGTTACTACCTGCTGTCACTGGATACACAAGTCTCAGACCTTAAACCAAGGAACAAAAGACAAAAATCATAGTCTAAGGCAAATTACACCTCCCTGACTCAGCCAGATAAAATTACTATTCACTCTGGCCTAAGCTACACATCAAGTTAGAAGATATTAAATTGTCCATCAGTGAGATGGTATCTCAGGTAGTGGTTGAAAAGGGTAGAATTGACACACTTGAATGACAACAAAGATTAAGTATAACAAAGATTAAGTGCAACACCACCCGGCGGAACTAAGTAGATCTCATAATTACTTGAGAAAGTGGATGACCACAGGAGGAACAAGCTCTGATGTATTGGTTTTCCAGAGTCTATAAAACCTTTATGCCCTTGCTTGTAACATGGATCCTAGAAGTACTTATCTTATTACATCATCTGCCACTTAATAATAGCAAGCCCTAACTGGTGATTCTCTGGTTATTATGGACTCCTGTATCCATATATTTTAAGGTTAGGAAATCAATTCTCCAGTGGATCTATAGGTATCCCCACAACTGGACCTGTTTCAATTCTAGCTGTATGCTCTCGTTTATATGGACTGGATAGAACCTACATAGAAAAATAAATATCTCCTCTGGCTCCCACAAAACAACTCCCTGGATCCCTCCATGAAGGTGGAATTCATAAATACTTTTGTACGTGATCAGGTTAATATTGGGAATTTTTTTTTTTTTTTTAAATATCCTGTTAAGACTTTCCTTTAAAAATATTTATTTAGCTGAGCTATTTAGAAATTGGGAGAGAAAGGTATCCTGAGACGGTACACCTATGTAAAGTCACTACCCTGGCTCTTTAACGGCTGAATTTGTTTATTACATACGTTTGACTATCCATCTATGTATTATGACATCTGTTCATTGCATTGGCGTTTCAATGACATTCCAAAGCAGCCAGTATGAGTATTTCATGAATACATTTTCTCTTTATTCAATACTCAAAACTGTAAAAGTAAGATGTCCACGTCAACTACTAATCAGATTATTTTACAAATTGCAACTCGGTACCACCGTACAAATGTATTCTGCATACTGCCACCTTTACCACCACTAATAAAATATCTGGAAACTAAAAATAGACAATGGGGGGATCAGGTGCCCATTTACCATATAACCTGTTCAAACTTCAGAGTCATAGGTTCTGTTCCCAGCAATGTTCAGAAGAGCTGGGTCATACTAAAATATATTTATTTACCCCTTCACTAGCAGTCACTTTCCAAACTAAATCTAATTTTTTAAAGAATCATATGAAATCGGAGTAAAACTGAAATTCTATGTAATATTTCTAGGATATCAAAGATTTTAACCTCAAACTAGAGTTGGTTCAGGCATGGGGCTTTCAAAAAGGCTGGTGGGAGATTTTTTGTTTATTTTCTTCGGATTGACTATTGCATGAAATGCTTATTATAACTGGCCAAGATCTAGACAAGACTGGTATGCTCTTTTCAAATAAACAAGTATATTTAAGGTTCTATACATTGGTGCCGACCAGGTTAATGCTGCACAACTATATTGTATAAATGTACAATGTTAATCCTGATATCTTTTATCTCTAATCTTCTTTGTTGATTTTTTGTCTCTAAACGTACAATAAAATACAGATTTTCAATAAAAATAAAACCATATATTTTTACAGCAAACTCTCAACCCACAATTTCAAATGACCCTTCCGCTATGGCTCAATGATATATACGACTCTCAGATGGCAGAGGATAATCTCCTGGGTCCTATGACCTTTTTGTTGCCTGAATTTGACTATCCCTTGAAGATTCCTGAGATGATCACAACAGAGGACAGACCCATCTGTTTTTATCATATAGATCAACTTTTACTACTGTGTTAAATTCAACCAAATGTTTCTAATGGAATGACCGAAGGACCATTAAAGGGGAAGTACACCTCCATCAAGTTATAATTATTATAAATGTTATAATGACAGATAGAAGCGTTAAATAGGGCCCTGCTCAAACAAGCTTACAATCTAGGGGTAATTAACTAAACTGTGAATTGTTGGACATTTTAGAAGTGAAATTAAAGTTTTAACCCAAACTAGCACAATTTCAGTAATTAGTGTTTTCAGTTTTGTTGTTGTAGCTTAATGTTTGAAATTCACTTTGAATTACTGACCATACACAATTTGATTAATAACCCTGAACGTCTTGTTTCATTCTTTTAGCAAATATGGTGCTCCCATAAACGTGTAACAAGTTTTATGTTTCCGCTATAAGAGATCTTTAATTATTTTTCTCTGTACTTAGCAGTAGTCTAATATTTAATTTATTAATAAAACTATTTTATTTTTTTTTATATTTATTTTGGATCCCTGTAACAATATCTTTTTTTTTTTAACCTAATAGCCAAGGTGTGGACTACATTAACAGGTTTTTTACTGTAAAATGTTCTATGAGTGATTGGCTGCAAGACACATCATTTCCTGCACAATATTCTGGCGACTGCTGTTAAAATGAATTTGCAATGGCTCTATCACCAGCAATGTCAGTTTTGAGTATTGAATAAAGAGAAAATGTATTCATGAAATACTCATACTGGCTGCTTTGGAATGTCATTGAAACGCCAATGCAATAAACAGATGTCATAATACATAGATGGATAGTCAAAGTCTACATTGACAAAAGGATGAATGATGGATCCTGTCAATTCTCACAGTCATCACTAGCGCAATGTTTGTCGCAACAAAGATAATGCCTTCTAGGGACAGCTTTTGGTAAATATATCTACATACACCTTTGCCAAAATAAGAAGGTATGCAAAAAAATTTGGGGATATTGCCCGCAGATGACAGAACTAGTTTAAGTTCCTCATCCGCTTCTGCTTTGACTAATAATACCTATTTATTAACCCTTCTAACAACCAGTTGACTACACTCCATTCTAAGTAGAATGTTGTCCCACAGCTCCTCATATTAAATGTGGTGCTCTACGTTCCTATCCCATCAGTTAAAGAGTTAAACTCTTACTTTTATTGTAGTTCCCTACAACACTGCTCCTCTGTACATCTCTACCCTTCATATAAAAGGGTCACTTTATGTACCACAATCACTACAGCTTATTGTAGTGGTTAGGGCACAACAAGACTATAGTTGTCGTCCTCTGGTGTTCTATCAAACTAATTAAACATACTAAGTGCTGTCCTTGTGATAAGTTCCTGGCAATAACCCACCTACACCAGGCCACCCTGCTCCATGTCATACCCCTATACTTTAACGGCGAGCCCTAATCTAATTCACGTTCAGCCAACACAACCTCCACCACGCATGCATAGATAACTATGCGGACAGGGGATAAAAACACCCTTAGGTACATTGTGCATTTACACAAAAACGCTTAACGGTCTACCAAGATCAGCGCACTGGAGTGGTATCGCAACCACATAGACAGTTTTATTAGACACTCAGCCCCCAGATTGTTTATACCACTTTCTGTTTTATTTTACATTTATTTTCCTTATTAAAACAAAAAGAGGCAGCCATACAGAAGTAATGCGCAACATATAAGTCAGGCTTCTGTGATACACCTGTTTGTGATAACCGTTACTTCCTTATTCTGTAATGCTCATATGAACACCTCAATAAAAGAATGAAAAAAAAAAAAAAAAACGAATTAAACATAACTTGGCCAACACTCAGTTTGCTTCTTCTGAATTTACTCTCCTTTACTACTCCAAAAAAAGTTTTTTTTACAGAAAACTGAAGAACAAGAATACACATACAGGTACAGCACCATAACCACTCTACTGAAACGGTAGTGGATATACCTAGAGTGTCCCTTTAAACAGTACAACTTGGCCATTCTATCTCGCTTATTAACTATTCAGCATATAAAAACTGTACGAGTTTCACAAAGAATCCCAGGCACACCAATCTATATCAGTCAATATCCGTGACCTACAAATTGTGTGTATTTTATTTTTTACCTTATCTGCACCTTACGTTGCACGTGCTTCATTTTTATCCTTCATATTTTAAGCTTGCAGGCACGGCTCACAAAACCAGCTCACATAGTTTTTGTCATGTCAAAATGTTTCCTGAATCCTTTGCGTAACCTTTATCTACAAAACACAGATTTGAATTTTTATTTTTTTTATACTATACTTTTTTATTATACTATAATATACCAGGAGTCATTTTGGCAGATGAAAGCAAAACAAAGAGTCCTGTGTGAAAGTGGACTGTTTTGAGGATTTCTGTAAGTGATATGGATTAACTGGGACGAACCGTGTCACACAAATTAAAAGGATCCTCTAAGCACCATTATAGGAATTGCTGGTTACTGTCCTATGTCTTTATAAAGAAAATGTCAAATCCCTCTCCCAAAAAAACAGGTTATCCTGGCACCCAAAGCAAACCTCTCCGCAGTAGCTTCCATGTAAAATGTATGCTGAGATATTTGTCCAAAGCCATCCAGCCTTAGAGGGCGGTGATTGGCTGCTGCGGAATTCCTAAATTAACTGACCTGTCATCTGTCAAAAAAATATCCATTTGTCAGTTGTGGCAATCAAATAATTCTCAGACTGGTCTTTATGGAGATATCTTGCCAGATATTTTAAGGCGCAATCAAGAAGGCACTTTTTATGCCATTGGAAAGAATAAGGCAAGCAGTGCTTTTGCGAAGTATTTATTGAGAGCTTACTATGACTTCATGGGTTTATTCAGCTCGCTGCTTTAGATTACTTACCGTACAGATGTGTACATGCGCGGACAGGATTGAATCCAGGCTGCTGTTCATGCACAGGAGCCTGTTAAGACTGGTAAAGTCACATTGGTTTGAGTAGAGACATATCTAACATTGGGAGTAATGAATGCAGGACAGGCGGTGGGCGAGTCACAAGGGGTCGGCCGTGAGGGGCTAATCTGCCAGAATTAATGGGCATGTCACCTGGAATGTCAGCCTCTCTGAGCATGATTAGCCATAAGACGTCCCCCGAAACCATGAATTTGCTTGGCCCATTTAACCATCCATATGTGAAGAATGAAGAGGGGCAAACTAGCAACTAGCCTAGTGGCCCTTTGGATTCTAATCCGTTTTTGCATGCGCAGAGTCTCCTGAAGCAATCTGCTTGTGGTATGAGTGCCCTGAAATCTTTTGGCCCGTGCCAGCATGTTCTTTGACGTGCTCCCACTGCAATTTTTAAGATAATTTCCCTGCTGTCCCTAGATGTAGGACACCAGTATACAAACCCAAGATGCCAGGACACCAGTATACAAACCCAAGATGCCAGGACAAGGACCATTTTACCAGCAACTCTTTGCACGAACAGGGCCTTATGAAAAAGCATGTGAATAAACAAGTAGTACTCGTCTATTAAAGCCTCACCAGTGTGTTTGATTCTCAGTACATAGAAGCAGACACCTAACAAGCTAAATACAAATATACATCCACACACTGATTGTATGCACACCGCGGTGACCAGGATAGAATGGTACGCAGCCATGTGGATTTAAAGTGGCACTATCAGCCCCCACGAACAAAAAAATTTTGTATTTCATAAACATAGAATCTTTATGAAATACTCATTTGGACTGTGTTGGAATTTCAGCGAAATCCCAACCCAGTCAAGAGATATACAGAGACAAAGAAGGGACTATTTTGACTTTCTAAGACTCAGGGCGGAGTCTAAGTGTCAATCCCGACAGCCGTCATCAGAGACAGCTGCAGGGAATTGGCTGTGTCTATGTAGGAATCCCTCGGGATCCTCCATAAACCTCAAGGATGTACTCTCGAACATGCTTAAGCACCAGGAGGTGCTGGTTCAAGACAGCCGCACCCGCGAGGCATAGGTTCAGGTTAGTAAATCTCACCTTTACCTGCCTGGACCCCTACAGGGCTATGGGACCCCCATCAGGGATGTAACCGTCGGGGTCTTTGCGAATTCGTCAAAGTCCACAGATGGTGACATCGCTGCTTTAATATAACATTATCGAAACAGAACACTGCGGAAATAACTAATAGTGGAGAATTCAGGCCTGACATTTGTAAATTTCTGCTGATTATGTTTAATTTTGAGGCAAAATATAGCACTCTAAAAGAAACCCTTTCAGTGCTACGCACTAAACTCCAGACTGCAGTAAATTAAAATCTGAATTGCAAAATGTAGAAGTTGTGGTCGGGTTTTAATTCACCAACATTTAGGGTTTCGTTTTCGTGAATGAACCTCAAATTAAATTATAATTTTGTTTAATTTATCCTTTGACTTATTGACCATAAGCTGAGCCCTCTCAGTTAAACTTCTTACATAACAATAATAACAATAATAATAACAACAATAATAATAATAACAATACTAATAATAATAATATTAAATAATAATAATAACAATACTAATAATAATAACATTAAATAATAATAATAATACTATATGTAACACAGAGCTCCTGGAGCACAGTGTCAGGGTTATTATTACAATGGGAATATTTAGGGGGTCAGAGTACATGTCTAACACACTGAGGCCATTCTCCAAGCCAGCCATGTTCTCAGTTTGATTATTTTGGTCTAAACACTAATCCCCAAGAATTGCTGACATTCCGCACGTTAGTAAATAGCAGTGTGTTGGTGGATTACCCTCTGAGAGCACGTGATGCTGGCTCTCTCAGACTATCTGGCACTCAATGTGTTAACTACAAGGGCGGGGCGGGACCAAAAAGCCTGACCTTGCGCGTGATGTCACCACAGGAGCGACGCGCTGATTGGCTGCGGCGCATCGCGTCACCCCAGGTTACCTGCAGAGCGCGTCAGTGCTGGGGAGAGAGAGAGAGAGAGCGAAGCGCGCTGCGTGTGCAGAGCACAGAGCATACTGAGCGAGCCCTCCACAGGGGGCCCTGCACGTTACGGCCACCTAGCCACGCCCGCCCCTCCTGCATCCTCTCCAGGCTCTGCACACACTGCTCTGCACTCATTGCTCTGCACCATCCCTACTAGGCTCTGCACACATTGCTCTGCTACATCCCTACTGGGCTCTGCACACATTGCTCTGCACCATCCCTACTAGTCTCTGCACACACTGCTCTACACCATCCTCTCCAGGCTCTGCACACACTGCTCTGCACACATTGCTCTGCTACATCCTCTCCAGGCTCTGCACACATTGCTCTGCTACATCCTCTCCAGGCTCTGCACACACTGCTCTGCACCATCCTCTCCAGGCTCTGCACACACTGCTCTGCTATATCCCTACTGGGCTCTGCTACATCCCTACTAGGCTCTGCACACATTGCTCTGCCACCTCTTCAGGCTCTGCACTCACTGCTGTGCTATATCCCTACTAGGCTCTGCACACACTGCTCTGCTGCATCCCTACTAGGCTCTGCACCCATTGCTCTGCTATATCTCAACTGGGCTCTGCACCCATTGCTTTGCTATATCCCAACTGGGCTCTGCACCCATTGCTCTGCTATATCCCAACTGGGCTCTGCACTCATTGCTCTGCTATATTCCTACTGTGCTCTGCACTCATTGCTCTGCTATATCCCTACTGGGCTCTGCACTCATTGCTCTGCTATATCCCTACTGGGCTCTGCACTCACTGTTCTGCTATATCTCTACTAGGCTCTGCACACATTGCTCTGCAGCCTCACCAGGTTCTGCACACATTGCTCTGCAGCCTCACCAGGCTCTGCACACATTGCTCTGCTACATCCCTCTTGGGCTCTGCACACACTGCTCTGCTCATCTTAGAGGAGTGCAGAGCTTCAGAGTGGGGGTTGACCAACCTACTGCCCATCCCAAACTTCAGACAAAGGCAGTGGGGGGTATGCATCCCTGGGGCTGTAGCCCCTGTCTGTGACCTATAATCAGTGGGGGCCTCTGTGATGAGGGGGGCAGCAGAAGACATGGATGGCTTTGAGGGTGAAGCTTCCACAGCCTCCATGGTGTCTGGGGCCAGCAGCCCATACCAGCCCACCACAGAGCCAGTAATGCCCAACAGGGGGCTGAGAGGCATCACCTGTGACCTGGACTACATGAGATCCCTCTATGGCATCCTCAAATGCATCCAAGTGGTAAGTGATGGGGAGGAGGTGATATCCTGAAGTCACTGTGTTTTTACACTGGGGAACCCAAGATACCCTTCCCGAGTACAGTTATTCATCTGCTGTGGAGTAAATTCTCATGGTGCCTGACAAAGCTTCCTGTGACTTGTAGTCCAAAACATCTGGACATCCTTGATCCTTCTTGGATGTAGCAAGTTGTCAAGGTTATTCAAGTGTAAATTGTCAAAATCTCAAAAATATTAAAACTTAAGGCCAAAATAGTTGGATTGTAAGATTTCTCTAAGTCAAATATTTTGTCAACTCGCTATTGTGGCCTAAAATTAACAGTTACCTTGTGTTCTTGACAATTTGCACTTTAGTAAATAATCCTGTGTGTACGCATCTTTGATACCTTTTTGGAAGGTTTATGTATTAAACTAGGAATTGTGAAAAATTGGCAAAAAAATTGCAAATTTTCCCATTTAGAGCACCCAGTCATCGGTTGAGTTGAAGGGTTTTTTTTTTTTTTTTTTTTAGTTTGACAAATTTCAGAAAATCCCTATTTAGTAATAAGTCTTGGATTTTCACTTTTTTATTTATAGACAGATTCTTGCATTTTATCATTTATAAAACTGTTGTGTGGAAATGCTAAGCAAGTCCTCCATAATAATATCGAAAGCCCTGCAGTTTAAGCCACTGCGATGCCAATATAGGTCCAGTTTTTAGGGATACCATCATTAATGTAGCTTGGGATAGTTTCTAATATCTGGATCATTTTTTTGGAATTTTTTTTTATAACAGAGCAAAAGTACACCTTGCAGTTTGTTGTGTATACACCTGGTTAAGGCTTCAGTCTTGTGCAGGTGAGCAAACAGAACAATCGTGCAAATTCCCGTAGGATAATTATTTTCCAGACTACACCTGATGCTATTCCCCAATGTACTTGTATAATTGTAATATTCTCCCACCATGCCTACCTGTGTGTCTGTAACCTCTATTTACTCTCTGTGAATACCAATGACTTGCTCCTGTGCTTATTCTCTATTGGTTATCAGAGTGAATTGTTCTCCTTTACTTAACTTCAATTTAATTGTTCTTCAAAAGTGACAGCTGGTATTTGTCCCAGAAGAATAACGCAATCAGACACCTTATGCAAGGTCATAGCAATTTCATAGTTGGTTTAACATTTGGTGCATGACTGTTAAAATGTTACAGAACAAGGGAACATTTGGTTTATTTTTTAATGAAACGTAAAAAGAAATGTTTGGCTGAATTTAATGTATGGACTTGCTGTTAGTATATCACAATTGTTATAAACATTCGCTGCTAATACATTTATTTATTTTTTTAATCTAAACAAGGTGTTGCTTGTACATCAATCGACAGGTGGTTTTGTAGACTTTTTGCTTGACTTTGCCCTTTGCGACATTTGGGTTCATGAATCGGCAAAATACCATCTCTCCTTATTCTTTCTACATCCGTTTGGATCATATAAGCAAAACTCATGCCAGGTTTTATTGGGCTATTCTAGGTTCATCTGTTCATCATCTATAATGATATATTTAGTGAATCATTAAACCGTGTTTGAGAAATATTGTATTATTGGAAGCCATATAACCCCTATCTTCCAGCCAAATCTTTGCTTATATATTTTCTGAGATGTGCCAAAGCGGCATCCGTAAAATTCTTCAAATATATTTTGGTCAATCCGTGATATGTTGATTTTTAAAAAAGGAGAAAAGAACTGAATTTTCTAGTTCCTCTCTATTGTTTTTAGCAAATTATTAAAAAAAATTTAAATTTAATTTAAAAAAATAAATAAATCTTAAACGTTGCAATTCCCGTTGAGGAGTTGAGTTTGTTTTGGGCATAATAGAATGACTGTTTACATTAAAGTTTCATAGAATTGTGACCTTCAGAAAGGTCGTTAACTCTGAGAATTGCAAGGCTGCTGCACGGTTGTAAGTGATTTTAATAATAAATATATGGTGGATTAAACAAAGTCAACTAATCTCCTTGTTGCAAAAAAATTGGAAAAGTAACATTCCTTTCATTAAGTATGTGGAATGCGGTCTTCTAGTAAAACTTACCATGAGCATGCTTAATAATCTGTTGTTAGTTCCCACAGCAGAGCAGGGGTTGATCATTGGACAGAAGACGTGTGATAAAATTAATGGAAGTAACTAAAGAAAATCTCAGGGTTATTTGCTAAACTGGAAACTGTGGAGGAATGAAAAAGGGAACTTCGAAAGTTCAAGCTACAATACCTGAGCTCTATTCCATTTGGGGATAAAGTGAAATCAGGCCCTGTTCTTGCCCGTAAACTGGGGATCCCGGGCCCTCCATTGCCTCATTATATGGGGACGACTGTTCTGCCATTCGCTAGGCACCGTTTATGGTTATTGTGCCTCATAATGTCCTGTTTCAGGGCAATTCAGAGTCACTTTGGTCTCAATTTGTCTTTAATAAATATCCAAATTAGAAAGTTGGGTTCAATTTTGGATTAATCCACAAATATCGTAATTTTGTAGTAGTCAGACTGTCACTTTGAGGTATCATTTATGGTAGAACTCATTTAGGTTTCCTCGATTTCTCTTCCTTTTTTTTTTTTTCCTTATCTGAAACGTTTTTGTTTTTCTTTCTTTGGGGAACTTGATATTTGGCAGTCTGCTTTGGTTTAACACGTTCCTGCCCACATTGCCATGGTAATTTTCCCATAATCTGTTATTCAATCCTGCTTGATGGATTATAATCCCTGCCTTTATTTCATCCTCTCATGTAATTTTCACTTGATTTCCTCCATGAAATTTATACATGCGCGGAGATTCAGCAGTCCCTCGCTCAAGGATCAACAAAGTACTGCTTCCCCAGGGGGACTAATGGGAGGAATACAAATTGAGGACAGGGAAGTGCAAAAGACTGCACATAAATAGTATCCAAGTTGTAATCTGTATGAAGAAGGAGGACTGAAATGGGAGGAGGAATAATATCATCTACATTCTAAAGGAGGAGAATTGTGTGGCTTCAAACGTAGTAGAAATCATGTCTTAAAAGGCCAAGCAGGAAGTTGCTGGGAAGAGGAGACTGGACACTTAAATGGTGTCTGTGTGATAATACCATTGCTTGCCCACAGAAGGGCAAGTGAAGCCGGGTACAGCTTAAAAGACTGGAAGATGGAGGTATTTGGAGATAACGTTTTGGCACGTAAGAAAAGTGTAATTTAACAGTGAAAAAGTCAACTGACAGACTAAGAGCAAAAAGGAGCCCTATGCAGATGTTGTATAAAGAAGGAGGGGAAATGGCCGCGTTTTAAGGAATTAACCCAAAAACATTTGATATGGCAAGGCAACTGAACAATTGTTGTTTTTTAATTGTGCTCTCTTAAACCATACAATTTTTTTTTTTTTTTTTAAACCTAATAGTGTCATTAAAATATTTTTGTAGTAGTTATGGTGCCAGGAGTTCTCCCCCCAGGGTAAATGGTCAAACCATTTATTTGAGAACAGTTTGGGGTCTCCGGGCACCATTTGCCTGTGTTTGGCTGAAGCTCTGCAGGGCTTTCCTCAGTAGAGCTGACTGAAGCTCTTTGGAGGTTTTGGGTGACACTATCGCCCTGCGATTTTCTGAATACGGACGTGCACTCACAGGCATCTGTTTGGAAAACACTACCTAAGCCAAGCTTGACGTGCCATTCATTCCATAGTGCCATGTGTTTGTGCCCTCGGGGTGCCTCTTGGCATTTCACCATAGTGTTTGAATTCCTTAATATTGTATACCCAGCGTTACCTATCACAATGGAAATAAATACCTGCAAACGATTCATTATTGTTTTTCTGTTTAAATTGCACAACGTTGGAGTGAGGTGTTGGCTTGTCCTGACATTTGAGCAGTGACCGTGCCACCTTAATTGGCATTGATTGAAAGCTACTCCCTTCTCAAACACCATCTGTACAAACATTGATGAGACTCATTCCTTCAGGGCTTTTTTTACAGCATTATCTGATTCTCTTTCAAGCCACACAGGTTATATGCAGCAACTACAACTTGTAGGTGCAGTCATACATCCTTCCCATGTACGACCAGTTGTCTAAACTGAAGGGGCTTTTGGCCCTTTTGTTTAATCCAATTAGTGCTAATTCATTCCGAGTTTGAGTGGGGAGATTAATTTAAAGAAGCCCTGTTGACTAGAAGTTTTTCTCTGAGCTTTATATAAAGAGTGCACTGTATTGTGAACTATAGTAAAGATTGTTTAGAAAATGCCAGGATACTTCACAGCACTGTGCAAGGGATGTGTGGTGAGGACCCAAACTAAACTAGTTTATAAGCTCATTGAGCAGGGCCCTCAATCTCTGTTCCTGTGTGTCCAACTCGTCTGGTTACAAATACGTGTCTGTTAGTCCACCCATTGTAAAGCACTGTGGGACTGAGCAAGGGCATTCCTGGCACCACAACAACTTCATGCAGAACGTGGAGACGCTGAATGTAGGTGCTGCACACTGTGCAGCTCTGAGATAGGAAGCACCTCTAGTGACTGCACCTTGAGATTAGACATTAAAGGACCACTATAGTGCCAGGAAAACATACTCGTTTTCCTGGCACTATAGTGCCCTGAGGGTGCCCCCACCCTCAGGGACCCCCTCCCGCCCGGCTCTGGAAGGGGGAAAGCGGTAAAAACTTACCTTTTTCCAGCGCTGGGCGGGGAGCTCTCCTCCTCCAATCTTCCTTCTCTCCTCCCCGTCGGCTGAATGCGCACGCGCGACAAGAGCTGCGCGCGCATTCAGCCGGTCACATAGGAAAGCATTATCAATGCTTTCCTATGGACGCTGGCGGGCTCTCACTGTGAAAATCACAGTGAGAAGCACGCAAGCGCTTCTAGCGGCTGTCAATAAGACAGCCGCTAGAGGGAATGGAGGAAGGCTTAACCCATTCATAAACATAGCAGTTTCTCTGAAACTGCTATGTTTATAAAAGAATGGGTTAACCCTAGCTAAACCAGGCACCCAGACCACTTCATTAAGCTGAAGTGGTCCTTTAAGATTAGAGACTGAGATTAGACTGCACCTTGAGATTAGACATTTCTGGTGACTATAGTTACAAAAATGGAAATAGGAGCCGCACTCATTCCCAGCAAACACCTGATGCACTGGAGCAGGACCAGCAATCCCACAACGATCAGGCAGACAAAAAAGTCTCCAGGCACTCAAGGTGTTCAAACCGCAGGCAGATTTAATGGTACAAAAAAAGAGCAGCAACGTTTCGATCAAGAGCTTGACAAAGACCTCTTGGCAGGTCGAAACGTTGCTGCCCTTTTTTGTACCATTAAATCTGCCTGCGGCTTGAACACCTTGAGTGCCTGGAGGCTTTTTCTTTTTTGTCTGTTGACTATAGTGTCCCTTTAAGACCCAGACCATTCACCAACACATGCATGTCTCATGATTTTGCCAGATGTGCGGCATACAAAACATGAATGTTTGTTTCTAGATCTGTAATTATGACCATAATTACTGTATTTTAATTGACTATTCATATATCGATACATTATGTCCAATTGTTGCATCTCTAGTAAATACAACAATTAGATCTGCTGCGGAAAACTCAAGAATAGATCAAATGTCTTGTGCGGTTAAAAAAAAAAGCCAAAGATATGGATTCCCTTTATACAGACAAACTGCAAAGTTAAACAACAAAAACTTCTTCTTTTTTTTTTTTCTGTAAAGGATTACTTCCCCTTTAAAAGGAACTGGGAATTTGTCATGGCTGAGCTAGGAGCCTCGTGATCTTTGTTAAACTGCACATGCAAATAATTATGTAGGTGGCTAAACGCGGCTTCCATCACCTATTGTCCCAATATAACATTATCAGGCAGGTGTCAAGATTCAGGGGTGGAAATAGCATCATTCATGAACTGTCTGCAGCCTGCGGGCATACGTGAGGGATTACACATCTTTTATTTGTTTTCCACCTTGCCTGTCACAAGTGAAGGTATTTTGGCAGACAGACATCTTGGTTGGTGGGATTTTCAGAACAGATGTTAAATTAGAAGATGGACAGGGGATCTGCAGTCCCTCTGTGTCAGTGTTTTAGATGATGATGGGGTTAGTGTGTCCTAGGACAGCGCGGCACAAACAGGAAAACCATTCCCGATTCCAAGAACGAACAGACTTGTGGTTAAGCTGGGAAAGCGCAATGCACACTAAGGAATGTGCTTTTGGATCAATCTTTAAACCATTGCCCTGTTTCCATCTGCTCTGACAAAATGTGATCATCCTGTCTCATGCTGAAATTTCAGCTAGTATTTACACTGTCGTAATATATATGTGTTAAGCAAGGAATTCTGTTTCTTGGATTTGTCAGTAAAGATAAACCCTTTGCAGTTTCTTTTATTTTTTTATTCTTATTATGACTGTGTTAAACTTGTAATGTGCATAACATTATGTCATTGTTCATCTATTGTTGCATTTGTTTGTTTCATTTGTCATTTTACTCATTGTGGTGTTATATTTGTGATGGTTACTACATGCCACCCAAGTGTCCCACTCTAGGAAGAACAGTCCTTCTTTGGTACCAAAATCCTTCTATCCACCTTTTCTAACCCCAAAAATCATACATCACATTAGCTGCAGAACATTTTTGTCAAATATTTTTTTTATTGAAAACTTTTCATTTTTAACAATAATAATCATTGTAAAACAATGAAATATAAGGAATAAAGAAAACTATATAAATCAAACAAACACAAAGAATCAGGGGGAAAGTATCCATCCATTATAAAATTGATAACATATGCTTTATGAAAAACACTACATAGTGTCTAATAAGGTGTAAAAACACTTTACCTGTACTGGCGATATAGTATACAAACAGAACAGGAGTAAAAGGAGAGGCACATAAAGTACTAGGTTAATGATTCTGTTGTGTTTGATGGCAATCTGAGGTGCATCTCATAGCACTTATTCTCTAAGGCCAATGTTAATACCTCTTTAATAGACGGAACTATGTCAGACCTCCAATAACGTGGTATTACCATAGTGGTCGCTATCAAGACGTGGCCTACCATTATCTTATCCACTTTGGTAAAGGTTTCAGGAAATGACTTGAATAAACATAGTTCTGGAGTCAGTAACAACAGAAGGAGTAATATCCCTGATTATTGTATGTACATTCTTCCCAAATAATTGTAAACGTGGACAATGCCACCACATATGGGAATGTGTGCCTGTTTGTCCACAGCCACGATTCTCATTTACAAACTGCCTTCTTTTCTACCCAACATGACATTCCTTCTTTGTGCTGGGCCATGCCCAATAAAATCCACTGGATTGCAGCCAGCCAAGAACTAGCACTGTAGGTCGCTGATCCCTCTGTGGCTGTGGGTATGCGAGCATGTGTTTGTTTGTAGAGCTTGCACGTAAGAAGATTGCGTGTTCATTGTCAGCCGGTTTGTGCATACTGATGGCAAACGGGAAAATTGTACGAAATTGACTTTCATTTTGAGCTGGCTGATGACCGCTTCTAGAGGCAGAGTTACAACGTGGTGGAAAAATAAGAATATTTCTATTCTGGCAGTGTTTCAGATAGAAACCTTGCACCATACCAGCTTCAGCAAGCAAAGTGGTTATGGTCCTTAGAGTAACTCTTTAAATGACATCAGTCAGACATGGTAAAACATACAATAGCCCACAATAAGCTCACCTCCGGCTACACCCCCTGTAATAAAAGTCCCTGTTGGGCCGTTTGAAATGTTGGGAAATATAGAAATACCTTAATACTGCAATGAATTACCATGAACACTTATTCTATAAGTGACCCATTTTTTAAATACCATTTTCAATTCAGGGATATGGGGAAAATTCTCCAAAATGGCAGCTAGCACTTGAAGCCATTTCTGTTGCCCACTGTGTTGTATACAGCCCTGGTTTACAGCAGGCCTCATTTTTGGGAGAGCTAGAATTGTACATCCCCTCCCGTGCCACTTTCATTCCCCCTAATATTCGAAAAGTACATTCTGATGTAAACCTCCTATAGTATAACATGCACTAGATGGACAAAAGTATTGGGATGTCTTTACAAACATTTGTGAAAAACTGTGTCGTCTTGAAGAGCTCAGTGAATTCAAGTGTGGTACTTTTTCACCCTTGCTAGATAATTCACGGACCTCTGTGGTATTATTGGAAAATGGAAGCATTTAGGAACAGCAGCCACTCTGCCAGGGAGCAGAAGAGCACGGTCACAGAGTGCTGAGGCGCATGGTGCATAAATGTCGCCAATGCTCTGCTGATTCCATAGCTGAAGAGTTTCAAACTTCCACTGGCATTAATATCTGCACAAAAACTGTTCGGCAGGAGCTTCATGGAATGGGTTTCCATGGCTGAGTAGCTGCATGTACATATTAATGTCTATGTATTTAGAACGCAATATCCTAAAAGTCCCTGTTGGTATAATGGTCAGGTATCCCAATACTTTTGTCCGTAAAGTGTAGTTACTGTTCGTAAATTGATCTATATAGGTACAACCTTAAACAGGGCAGCATACTTACGTATTCTAGCACGTTTAGTCTCCTTGCATCCCATGTGGTCTACTGACTTATAGTGATGGGAGGATGTGATATGGCAACCCTCCTCCTGATCGTCTCTGCTTACGTGCCATTGTGCATTAGTACTATAGTTTACTGAGTAATATTGTAACAAGCAGAGCATTTTTGTTTTTTGTTTTTTCTCTCTCTGGTGTGTCTACTTTGGCCTAAAACTTAACTTTTTGTAACATTAGAATTTCTGGCCATTTTCAGTTAACTGAATAACCCTGTCAATCAATATTAGAGTAATAACCGTGTGACCACATGGACCATCATACTTTACTATATCAAAGGGTCCTGTTCTTACTTCCTTTACGAATTTTGAAAGAATTCACATGTACGTTATGAAATTCTAACGTCCAGCATTTAGGAACACTCTCCTCCATTCATCCCTGGCTATAAATATTCCAGTTTGGGCTTCCGCTAATTACTAGCATGGGAAAGAATCCAGTAATTACTGTAGCATTCGTTTCCCTGTAAACACAGACGGCTCATCACTTATTCAGCTTTGTGTATTATAAAAAGGTCTGCCCAAGGGTTACAGGGCGCTCTGGCTGGGCTCTTTAATTCGGGGAAAACAAGCAAGGCCAACTGGTTTTATTAATAGTTTCCTGGAGATGGTAATATGATCGGGTATCCAAATGTTTAAGAAAATACACAATTTCTTCTTCTTCTTTTTTTTTTTTGTATGTCTGCAGTTGATGGAGAAAAAAGTCTGCAAGGGTTTATGTATTTTGTGGAAATCTGTGTATGAGCATATTTATCTGTCTTAGTATGGCCTGCTTTGAGACTGCCTGGGTTATTCAATAAAGGAAGAAATCAAAGTGAATTTAAATTTGAAGTCCAAATTAGCCAAACTGCAAGTATAGCTGACTTGTAGAATGTTTCCTGTTTGACTAATTTGACCTCAAATTTTAAATTCACTTTGAATTCTCACTTTAGGGGATAACTCTGTATATATTTTGTAAGCACAGGCAAAAATAGAGCCAGAATGGAACAGGTCGAGTCGGTGAGGGGAAGGGTTGAAGATGTGAGGGGCAGTGTTCGGTATGGAGAGGAGCAACGGCTGGGATAAGGAATAGACCTTACCAAGGAGCAATGTCAGAACCGTAGAGTGAGAAGGTAAAAGAGACTTTGTTGGAGTGTTCGAGCAAAATGTACAAGAAAAGGCGCCATAAAAGATAGGTGACCGGATGAGAAAGAAGGGGTCAATGCTTGGGAAAGATAGGGAAGAGTCATGCTAAAGTGAGATAAGCACAAATAGGCAGGAATAATGAATACAGGCAGAAAGGGGAGATATCCAGTTGAGCAGTCAGAAGAGAGATTTATGGGCTAACTGCACCATGGCAGGGCAAGGGGCAAATTGGACCAGGGCAACTTGTAAAGTGGACCAGAGCAGGGCAATCAGTAAACAGAGTGAGGATAGAGCAGGGCAATGTGCAAACTGGGCTACGGGGTTAAAACCTACTAAAATAAGAGGAGGAGCAGGTTGGAAAGGAGCATGGGAAGGATAAAAGGGAGCCAGGATGGGACAGGGGAAGGGGCAAACAGAGCATGGCAAGGCGCGATTTGATCAGGGCAAGAGGTTATCTAAGCCAAGACAAAGTGGGACAACTGGTGAACTTGGTAAAGATGGGGGGGGGGACAAAAAGCAAAGCAAGAGGGAGTAGAGAAAATGGTGTGGGGTCCCAAGAGGGAAAATGGCAAAGAGGTTTGTGAGAACCTAAAAAAGGGCTAGGTGGAAGCACAGCGTAGGCCCAGGGTGTTGGGGCCAAGAAAGGTTAGAAGAGAGTGGGGAAAATGGAGCATAGATGGGACTTAAGGATGAAGAAAGCAGGTCAAAGAGTTCAAGAAGGACCAGGGTATTGAGACACTCACGACAAAGAAAGGCTAGGCAGAGAGAGATGATGGGGCAGGTCTCAGGATAAAAGAAGGAAGGACATTGGATACTGGGAAGTTGAAGACCTCTCTTAACACAATTTATTGAAATCCTAGTTCAAAACCTACTAGCTTTATTCCTGCGCTGAACATATTTGCAGTTACTGTACAGTGAGCATCAAAGAACTTCTATTGACTTGTAAATTCACTGTTACTTCAAAGAATTCTCCCGTTTTTTTATAAGATGTGATTTGTAGATGTAAAGCAGGCGTGGGTTACATCAAGTTAGCTTGCACCCTATAAAATTTCATCTGACTGCGCCGTGAGAAGCGTTTTACAGCTAATGGAAGACAGAAATGAGTGTGTGCTCCTTTTTTGAGCATTTTTATTTAATTTTTTTAATATTCACTTGCATGCGCAGTACTTCATCATGAATTAAAGGAGCACTCAACCCACATAAAGTACTTCAGCGTACTGAAATGCTCTATATGTCAGGACCATCTCATTTAAATTGAAGTTTATAAAACTTTTTTTAAGATAGAAATTGTCACTTTTATAAATCACTGTAGAAAGACCTCCTCTTCTGTTTCTCTTGGCTCCACAGATCTAATGAAAGTGGCAGGTGTGTACGACCTTCCTCCCCAAGTCACAGTGTGTCTGTGAGGCCATGCATGCACGTCCACAGGACTCGTTCTAGCCCTGTGTCCTTCCTTCTATGGACACCCTAACTGGACTCTAAATGGGAAAGCTTAGTGCAAGATCACAACCCAAAATCAGAGGCTTCTCATTTCATAGGCAGCTTCCTATTGGCTGTGGTAACAACACAGAGCCTTGTACGTCCAGTAACCAATCAGGAGGAACAGACCTCAATCGTTGACCTAAACCTCTCGATCTCTTACTCCGCTTCTCAGTAATGGTTTAACCACTATGTGGTTTGTTTGCTCTTGTGTGTTTTATTATAAAAAATGTGTATAATACAAATATTGCCTTTGTCTGCTCTTCTATACGCTTCTAGAACCACGGTAAAAAGATTCAGGATTTTATTTTTTCATTGTGTTTTACAATAGGACAAAAATATAACAACTAAACAAAATACAAGTCATAAGTATGATAAATATATTGTGGTGTTGTCCCATCATACATTACATAGGGTATGACAATATAAGCGATATGTCAATATAACAATTGGTGACCTAGATTAGGAAACCGTTGATAATGTTAGGGCATTGAGTGGGTAATCATGCAGAGACCCAAGCTTTATTAATGATCTCAAATAATTAACTGTTCAGATGTATCACTATAATTGTGTCCTGAACTAAACTTCATCTCCAGTTGATGTTACAGAGGATGAGACATACTAAAGTGCTAGGAGTGTTTCTTTAATATTCGGATTCACAGGAAGGAATGTAGATCTCTTAAGAAAAGTACAAAACAAATCTCCAGGCCCACAACCATCTCTCCTAAAAACATCAATCATGTACAGGAGCACAAACCTGTATTCCTAACCCTATAGGGTTAAAACATCCATCTAGCTCCCCCTGCCTCCCTAAATATAGTAAAATATTACTTGTATTCAAGTCTGCAGCTGCCTGCCTCTGACCTGCCTGCTGACATCATTAGAAGTGGTGGTCTGAGCCAATCACAGTGCCTCCCTATAGGATTGGCTGAGACTGTCAAGGAGGCAGATATGGGGCAGAGCCAGCTAAAGCCAAACACAGCCCTGGCCAATGCATTGATTCAATTAATCTCTATGAGGAAGGTTCAGTGTCAGCATTCAGACATAGGCGTGTGCCTGGGCACACCCTAATCCCCGCGGCACGCCTATGGATTGAGACCGGCAGGGGAGATCCCAGGATCTCCCCTGTCTGCTCATGCAGAGCCGGCGCTATCCGAGCGCCGCCTCTGCTCTAAGCCTCCATGGGCCGGTGGGGAGATCAAAGATCTCCTTCACCGGCTCACAGCTGCAGGGAGGGAGGCAGGAGAGGACCCGGGGAGCTCTAGCCAGCAGCTCCGCCGGGTTCCTCTCGCGAGATCTGAGCGTTGCCGCGGCAACGCTCAGATCTCGCAAGAGTGAACTCTAGCCCCGCAGGCTAGAGTTCACTCTCCACTGGACCACCAGGGATGGCAGCAGCACAGTCCCCCCTCCCTACATAAGGTAAGAAGGGAGGGGGGATATTTACTAAACGGCCCCCACACAATACACACAATCACCCACACATACAGCATCCACACACACACATACAGCACCCATACACATACAGCACCTACACACATACAGCACACTAACAGCACCCTCACAAACACCCTCACCTACATAGCACACTACCAGCACCCTCACATACACAGCACACTAACAGCACCTTTACACACACACACACACACAGCACCCTTACACAGAGCACCCTTACGCACACACACACACACAGCAGTGTGTGTGTGTGTGCGCACCCTAAGGCACAAACACACGCCGTGTGTATGTATGTATATGTGTGTGTGTGTGTGTGTGTATGTATGTATGTATGTATGTATATAATGTATGTGTGTATATATACATACATACACGCGGCGTGTGTTTGTGCCTTAGGATGCACACCCTAATGCAATAGGCTGCGCACACCTATGCATTCAGAGGGAGGAGACACTGAATGTCAGTCACACTGTGCAGCACTGTTCCAGGAAGCACCTCTAGCAGCCTTCTGAGGAGCGGCCAGTGGGGATATCCCTAGGCTGTAATGTAAACACTGTATTTTCTCTGAAAAGACAGTGTTTACAGCAAGATGCCTGAAGGGAATGATTCTACTCACCAGAACAAATACAATAAACTGTAGTTGTTCTGGTGACTATAGTGTCCCTTTAATATAAGCTTTGTACTATCCAAAGGGCTTAGATATTCATGTTCTGTGCTACTAGGCTTTAAAAGTTACTTGCCCTTGCAAGCCTGTTGGGCCCGTGGCACACTGACAAGGGGTAATTTCTATTCGCCATTAATGGCGAGTGTATCCAGCAGATCTCCCTTATAAGATGCTCCCAATCCATAATTCGCATGTTGAGTAACGTCACTGTAAGAAACAGAGATGTGGTATAACCCTGTATAATCTTGTATACATTGCTGTGTATTTGGTTCCAGTGTCACCCTATTCATCTTCTCTGTCTGCAGGTCCTGGCCCTCCTCTCGTTTATCTGCATCGAGACCATCATGGAATGTTCCCCGTGTGAGGGTCTTTATTTCTTTGAGTTTGTAAGCTGCAGTGCCTTCGTGGTGACGGGAGTTCTGCTGCTCATGTTTGGACTCGGCCTGCACACTAGCGTCCCTCACATTAACTGGAACCTAACTGTGAGTTGGAGAAATCAAGCAATTCTTCCATGTGTAGCTGGGTGGAGATTATTATTTCATGATTTGCCTCCAGCATTGAAAGCAGACTTTAGACCTACCATGTCAAGTGATCAGGGTCTCCACACTTGGCCATCATTTGGTCGGGCAGCAGAGCCGAGATGAAACAAGTCTATTGGCTGGCAGGGTTGTTCACCGAAGTGATGATTGTTGGAAATTCTAAGTTGATTTCACATTTTAAAGCTAAAATAGCCCAAGAGGAACAATTCTCCAAGACCGCTAATGTTTCCAGATTGGCTACTTTGATATTAAATTTGATATTTACTTTGAATTCCGACCGTTCAGAGTGAATAACCCTGTGTTTTGTTTTGTTTTTTTGTTTTTTTTTAAAGCTGATTCCCATTGAAATGGTGAGAACCATTGTTAAACCAAACTGACCATATATCTGATGTTTGAGAACCTACATTTGGTGGAACAGCCATAGAGTGTAGTCAATGGGTGACCTGCTTAAATTCCTCCAAATTCCATGTACCTTTTCTACATTATCATGTTCAATTTACATTTATTTTGAAGCATTTAGGGGAAGGCTGGCTAATGGGCACCTTAGGGTTATATTGTTCGAGGTAATGTAGTGATCATAGGGTGTCCCATGTCATTCACTAGTTGTTAGTGACTTAGTCATGCCTGTACCTCACCCCTTACCATTGGATATGTTATAACGCCTTGATCACATTATCCTACAGTGATGCTGTTTGACTGTCATTGGTGACTAGGGCCCCGTTCCACGGTGAATAAATACCGGTAGTTAGTTAACCATTTATTTCCTGACCTTAATCCAGAGCCGGGCTCCCTCGGCACGGTGACCTCTCCTCCTCCATTGACGTGCTCCCGGAGCTCCCTAATGGAGCCGAATGCGTGGCCAGTGGCATGCGTGCATTCAAGCCGGCCCTTAGGAAAGCATTGCTCAGTGCTTTCCTATGGGGATCTTTTTTGATGCTGGAGGTCCGAGAGGACGTCCAGCGTCAAATAAGCACAATTTATTCTGTGTAAATCGCGGAAGCGCCTCTAGTGGCTGTCAGTAAGACAGCCACTAGAGGCTGGATTAACCCTGCATTGTAAACATAGCAGTTTCTTTGAAACTTCTATTTTCAGCTGCAGGGTTAAAACTAGGGGGACCTGGCACCCAGACCACTTCATTGAGCTGAAGTGGTCCTTTAAGACACACCTTCCGTCTTAAGGCACATTAAGGAATACTCCCGACCATTGAAGCTATTTAGTTTGCTGAACCTTTTTTATTTATTTATTTTTACCATTTTACAAGAAGTGCAGATTTCAATAGAAATGGGCATTTTATGAAATTAATCTTGTTACACCCTACTGACTGACAAACAGACAACCTGTCCTGTTACTTCCTGGTTTGGTTAGCTTATTGGAGCAAACCTCAAGAGGCAGCAAATGCCCAGAGCACCTGCCTTCTTATTGAGCTGCATTGGGAAGTCGGTGATTGGACAGCCACAGAAAGTTTGAGCTGGGGCAGATGGAGAGATTGCAAAGGCTGCAGACATGAGATCTACAGCTTTTGCAAGCCGTTTTATCTACTAAAAAAATAGTGTTTTTGGCAGTGAACTGTCCCTTTATTTAGCCATACTCTCTCACTTTCACACCAATATCAACGATTTCACTCCTAGATACATAATTGGCTATTCACTCAGAACAAACCTACATTTATAACTAGTGAATCACAAACACTACATACATATTCAGACATACACAAACACATACACAAACACATACACAAACACATACACAAACACATACACAAACACATGTGAAATGAATTGACTCCCTGATGCTCATCTGTGTCAGTAGAATTATCCTGTATCATCGTATTTCATTAGAGAGTGGACTCCAGCTGTGCACACCATCCGGTACATTACATCTGACCTCCATATCAATACATGATCACACTACACATGTGCCGAGGTTTATATTTTAGCAACCGTTTTGGGTGTTTCATGGCCTTCACTGCTCTCTCCTACAGTTAGAAAACAGCTAAAGCTCACAGAGAAAAATCTAAAATCGCACATGTTTGGCTGCCCCTGAAGTTCTGCTGACTTGTCTCGGAATCTAATTGTCAGCTGAAAATAAAATGCCCACAGCCTGTGATGTGGGATTTTTATTTATATGTTTTACTGCGAGGACTGTTTGTGCTCTGAATGCTGTCTGCAGGAGGACACATAAGCTATAAACATGCCTGACTGACCCAAAGGTCTGATTTTACATCATGTGAGTTGTAATTCTAGAGACCCTCCAGTGCCACGTTTCCCAGCTGTGCTGTAACAGCAGGGGAGCAGGGAGATTGTGTGCTTTCTCACCCACTAGCACAAAGGTAAAGGAACACTATAGTGTTAGGAATACAAAGCGGTATTCCCGCTACCTCCACCTCTACACTGGCGGCAATAAAAGGGGCTTTAAAAAAACCAAAACAAATGCCCTTTCTTTTTATTTTGCCTTATTCCTGCACCAATATCCATCATCGCTGGCTCAGTCTCCGCCTCCTGTGATGTCATTGCGAGGGGGGGCTAATGTGCATGCATGACAAACACTGCACGTGCTTTAGGCCTTTCAAATGGGAAAGCATTGACTCATTACTTTCCTATGGGAATTTAAAAGACATTGGATGATCTCATGCACAGCATGAGGACGTCCAGTGTTGTTTCACAGAGTTAAATTCTGTGAAACCGCGGGAAGCGCTGGTAGACAGCCACTAGAGGCAGTCTTAACCCTCTATTGTAAACATTGCAGTTTTCTGAAACTGCAATGTTTTACATTGCATTGTTAAGGGGACAAGGGCACTGCACGCAGACCACTTCAATGAGATGGTGTCCCTTTAACCATCTTTTAAATTTACCAACATTAATTCTCTTTAAGAGCAACATTTTATCCATAATATAACTTTTAATAACATGATTACTCCCCAACTATTCTAAAATTGCAATTCCTGCACTCCTTTTCCAGCCTGGGGGTTTAGCTTATTACCACCCCAGTATTAATCTAAACATTACACTATTGAATATATAATATCTATACTAGCTTTATTTGTTCTGTGATAAACTTTGTTTAAATGCCTTCTCCCCCATTTTTTCACACACTTTGCCCAAAACCAGAGCTCTTATATCACATATATAATAGTATTATTTTGTTATTCAATGCATTTTGTTTTTGAGATTAGAAAACTCCCATTCCCCACCCCTCCTTAAATGTAATTTATACTCCAACACTAGGACAGACTCCTCACTATAGTCTGGTCCTCCTCTGTTGAAATCCTTAATCCTGGTGACTTTTGTCCTTTGTCCAATCAGATGTTTGACACACAGTGCCTGCACAGAAATTTCCACTATAAGCAAATTCGCAGCCTCTCTATGAGCATTCACCAAGCACCGTGTCGGCAGACTTTATTTGCCGATGCAGGACCAGAGAATGTCTCCAGGTCGACTGTTTCCTCCCCCCCGAACTTAAATTGGCATTTAATTTTGAATTCTCACTTTAAAAAGGGACACTTATGCGTCAGAAGCCCCTAGTGACTGTATGTCTGACAGCACATAGGCCTTGAACTTGCAAAATGTAAACGGTCTGTTTCTCAGAAATGGCACTGTTTACATTTGAGAGGTTGCAGCAGAATCTATGTCCCAAAATCACTTTATTAAGATTACGTGACGTTATTCCTGAGATTGTCCCTTAAAGCCATCAGTAGCGGACAAGGAGTATTATTTTTTGGTAAAGTTTATTGTGACACAAAACTGGGGACTGCCAAAATACTATTTAAACCAGAATATTAACCCTCACAGTGAGACATAGTGATTCTGGTTTGTGAGTGCCCTTTGTAAATGTATCCTTTTTCTATTTCTGTTTGGAGACTTCTAGTAGTTAATGGGTTAAGCCCTAGTGTCTTTTTAGTTTAATAAACATATGTCCACATGCAGTTCCATCTCTTCTTTTAAAGAGGTCTTTTATCACTTTGCTACAGATGTTTAGCTTTATAAATGAAGCCACAAGAAACTCCCAGATTTCATTGAAAATTCCCGTAATCCGTTGTATAGAGAACAAACCCGTGTAATGAAATGGTGGAAGGTGTTCCTATATTTTATTAGATAAGAGGCGTTTTTACTCTGCAGAGGGTTTACTAACTAGACTGGAGAAATGCCAAGGTCATTGCAAAATTTAGACCAAAGATGTCGAGCTGGGTAAATTCTCAAACTCTGTTTTTCCAGATTTCCTCTTTTAGCCTAAATGTTTACCTGTGGTTAGCTCATTTATTGTGTTTGTGAAATGACTGCTCAGCCCCAGATCACATGTCATGAAAAGGGCTATAAGGCATGGGTCCTCAAACTCCGGCCCCCCAGATGTTGCTGAACTACAACTCCCATGATTCTTTGAATTACATAGCTAGCCAGAGAATCATGGGAGTTGTAGTTCATCAACATCTGGGAGGCCAGAGTTTGAGGACCCATGCTATAAAACAATGTCTAAAGTTGTTTTGGTGACTACAGTGTCCCTTTAACTCTCAGGCATGTATTTATCCTTTGCATTCTGCAAATAGTTGCCAACCAAACTGTATTTAAATATACTCAAAATATAAAGATCTACACTCTTCCATAAACCTCTTTAAGATACAAGAGGCTAGCGGAAGAATTTGTTCATAAAATTAACCTCTTCAAGACCACTGCCATTCCAAGACATTGTCACAGTCTGGCCCCAGCAAGACCTTACTCCCGATTGGAAGTCACAGCCGTTCTGCTGCCAGAATGAATGGGATGGCCTGTTTTTATATAGGATCTTTGGAGAATAGATCGTTATGATGATCACTGGTCGTTAAAGGGTTAAAATGTTGGTGGTGATCATATGATAAAGGGAGCAAGGCAGACCGAGATCCAGAGCAGCCTTCCCTCTGTCGTACAGTTTATTGGGAGATTCCTAATAAACCTTTTAAACCATGTTAAAATGCTATGTGAGTCAACACATGCTTTTTCCTGCTTTCTGTTTATTTCATTTTCCATGTTCATTATTTGTTTCTTTTTTTAGGATTTGCTGAACACCGGGATAAGCGCTCTGTTTTTCTTCATCGCCTCTGTAATTTTGGCCTCTCTCAACCACAAATCTGGGGCGGAAATTTCTGCGGCGGTAAGATCACTTACTCTGTAAACTTGTTTTTCCCCCAGTGATGAGGATTGGAGGTAGGATCATATTTTAACCCTTGTATTTGAGACCAAGAGTAATGCCCTACTGTCTGTGCAAGTAACGGACATGCTATTTCAGATCCAAATAATTCCATTACTCGCAGATAGAACGAGCAGCTGGGGGAATGAGATTTCTTGTAGGAATTTGACATTTTGTTAAAGTGACAAATGAACAGTGTGGGGGGAAAAAAATCTGAATCTCAATAAGGCTGCTTTTTTTTTTTTTTCTCTCTCTTTCTTTTCTTTTCTTTTCTTTAGTGTTAATAATTTACATTTATTCATATTTCAATAAAAGCGAAACAATCTCTTTTTTCCCAGAAGGCTTCTCTTACTGGGGCAGCCATTGTTGGCCTGTTTGCCATATTTCTCCCATCAAACTAATTTGGTCGACTAGTTTAAAAGCTGATGTGCTCCGTTGACAAGGAGGGATGGTAAGATAGGACACGTTTTATAAAACAGTGGAGATGACTCAGTGAGTTAATACACGGGTGGAGATCACATGACTGCTTACGGCACCATGACAGTCATTTCTGATCATGCGTGACTTCATCATTAACCTATGCTGTCGCCCCAACCAAGACGTGCGTACGGGGTCTGTAATAAAGATTCTATTTACCTCCCTAGCACTCCTCACTCCAGTAAGAGCTTAGAGAGTCTATATTATCTTGGGGAAGCGAGGAATTGTCACTTCCAGAGAAAGGACAGTTCCTCTTTAAATGGTTTCCATTTCAAGGGGGGTGTTTATTTTAATTTAAAAAAAACTGCAGTAGCTGGCATTTATATTAGTCAGGACTGTTATGCAAGTGTCCACATGCATTCTCATGTGATGGAATCCAGGAATTCAGAATAGTTTGTTCTGTGAATTAACTCTTTTAACATTAGTACTTGCAGCAGTTTTAAACTTTGTTTTTGCATCAAGTTTAATCTAGGTTTTATTGAATTTTTTATTTTTTTTAATTTTTTTTTTGAGACTGTAGTTTTATTTCGTATGCAACATGTTAGCAGACATACAACAGATTTGAAAAGAGGGTGCATTGTTGCCTATACAGAGGCAGATGACGTCAAACAGACAAGAGTAAGGCTAATTACATATTTTGTAGTCGTTCCGACCTGTGCAATGATGGGCATTTCGTAACCTCTGATTGAGAGCAGTTTACCCACGCAGGGGTAGTGTTGTATACTTAGTAAATGGTTTGGGATGTGGGGTTGTGTCATCAGTAGTTTTACAGCAGTAGCCTATGCAGAGGCTTATAACACATGGTCCCTGTGTTTTTTTTTGTTTTTTTTTGAGGCCGGCATCTTGTTTTGCATTGTGCCTTTCTTAAGCAGATTGGGTATGTGGTCTCATAGGGCGTAGCGACTATGGTGATATTGTTTTACGATATATTGCACAGTGGGTGCCATTGCGTGTCTTCCGTAAGGAATTGGTTAGCCGATGTTAGGGTGCTATATAATGTATCTAGGTCAGATTTTGTTGCGGGATAAGGCGGTCCGTCCCCATTGGTTGCCTTGTATGAGTGTCTGCGTTCAGAACCCGTGCCGTGGCGCCCCTGTTATTTCTCTCGGTTTGAGGCTGTCTCCGGGTTGGGGTCAGTCGGGCTATCTGTATGTCTTCGTGTGGTCGTGAGTGTGGGGGATGTGTTCTTGTGCGTGTGTCGCTGGTGGTGTTGGTTTAGTAGTTTGGGGGCGATGGTTTATGGTCCCGACGGGTGGGGGACTCGTTTGGCGGGCTTCTATAGGTAGTGTCAGCTTCCCCTTATCTAGCGTAGTGCCCTGGTCCTAGAGTCCGGTCTCAGTCACCCCGGTTCCCGGTCTCATCCTTCCATGTCTACGGTCGGGGTTCAGGGTAGGTTCGTGTCTCGACCCATGGGACAATGTGCGCGTCGGGGGTGCGGAGGTGGCGTGTGGTTGTGTAGGGGGGGAGATCTTGGGTGTCCTTCCTCCTCCTCTCCGCTTGGGCGTGATGGTGTCTCTTGTGCCTTGTGAAGGTTAGGACCGTGGGGATGGGACGGGTGTTCTGTGTGGTATAGCATGGCCCTGTGGTGGTATGTCTGAATTTGTTCTGCCTTAGTGGAATTTTTTTATTTTTTTATTCTGCTTGTTAACTCTTGGGTATGGCTAAGATGCAAGAGATTTATGGTTGGGGTTATTAGAGAGAGGTTTAGAAATTAAAGTTTCAGGTGGTGAGGATAAAGGTAAGTTCTGAATTCTGGGACATAAAAAAAAAAAAAATAGCTTAGGAATTAAACTAATGAAATTTATCTTAGCCCTTATACCACACCTCCTCTGGACAGTAAGCTCGTTTGAGCAGGGTCCTCATCTACCTATTGTTCCTGTTAACATTTTGTTATGGTCTCATTTGGTAAATTCCCCTTTTATTGTAAAGCGCTGCGGAATAAGCTGGCGCTATATAAATACCAATAATAATAATAATACTCCATGTGATTAACCTTTTGGTAGAAGATAGTCTGAGTTCATCTAGATTTTTGCTGACAAATTCCCATAGTTTATTAGTAGACTGGGGATGGGATTTTTGAGTTTCTACTTCCTCTGACACATAGACTGCATATTGTCTGTAGTCTTGTTTAACGACTTGCCTCTTTAAATATCATAATGGGTAACACATTGCTTCCTGCGGTGCTAACAGATGTCCCTTTTGAAGGGGTCAGTCACAGAGAATTTATGCCACAGGGTGGTTTTAAAGTGATAGTACACAGCATGTTGCATGTTTGTGATTCTAATTTGGCGGTTCCTAGTCCAGTCCTGCAGGTGTACCAATGGTCCAGGTTTTATCAGTGTCCATATTGGAATAGAATTGCAAAATTCCTCGATTCTGGACTGTTGGCGTGCCTTGAGAACTGGTTCGGGAACCACCGTTTTAACGAAATTAGATACAAGAGTATTTTATTAAATACATCGTACTCAAATTCAACTACCACACTCATGGTTTATTTAGTCATTTATTTGACTATGGACTTAACATTTCTTCCCCAGATCACCGTAACAAAGTGTGCCTTTTAAATGTTCACAATGCTTTACACATGTGCTTAGTAATAATCCTACTGTAAAGGCTTGTCCTGTACTTAACATATTGTAATCCTGTGAATTTCTAGAGTCAATTGTACTTTCAGCGCCCAATTGGTTAATGGAGTGTGTGACTCTTATGTTTGGCAACAGCTGCCCACCCAAAAATATTTTGATCAAAACAGCTGGATTTGTGAGGTCTTGGTACTGCTGACTCTGCTGCCATCTAGTGGTTATTAGTGTGTCCTAGTAACCAAAGCTCTAACAATACATGTGGAATAAGGCATTTTGGTTTTTAAATTGGTTATATATGTGTAACTCTCTTGTCTTCAAAAAAAATGTCCATTAATCATTAAAATTTGAATTGTTGGGAATTCAAATGGAGATTCATATTTGAGGCCAAAGTTCTTAATTAAGCTGTTTTGTCTAAAATTTGAAATTCCCTTTGAATCCTCACCAATTCCCACTTTATTAATAACCATGTGTATCCAATAATAAAGTCTGATTTTTGACTACCTGTTTTACATCTCTATCTCTGCAGATATTCGGCTTTTTAGCCACTCTCGCATATTCCGTGAACAGTTATCTGGCACTCCGAAAGTGGAAGTTCGGCAGGTCGCAGAACATGCGCCAAACAAACGACTACATGCGGGCTCGCAGCGAGTCCCGTGATGCGGACTGTCGCCCTGAGATTCAACGTCTCGATGCTTGAGCGGCCTGGGCTGGGCGTAGAAGCAAGACGGCGACTCCCTTCATTGTAGACAGCAGTCCAATTTTAAAAGACGAAGGAAAGAGGAGAGTTTTGCTTGTAATCCCATTCCTGTGATTCTTTCACTATTCCTTATGTATTTAAGGAAGTATTTGGTGGTACCCGGTAGACTTTTGCCGCACAACATTTTGGGTTTAACAGCATCATATGATGTTCGGTATCCTGACACAGTTTTTACAGACATTACTGCTTTGCAGCGAATGTGTCAGAATAAACACAGATTGATCTGATTTTTTTTTTTTTCTCCTACATGAATATTACTGCATCAACAGATTATTTTCTGCCTGTAAAACAGGGGTACAATCCATTATCACAGCCGTCTGCTCATAATCATTTTGGAATTGTATTTATTTCTTAAATTTTGTGCTGTACTTAGTCTATGAAGGATTTTTTATATATATATATATATTCACTTATTTTTACAATATGAAGGTTAAGGAAGATGACTGACCCTATTTTCTTCACTCCCTCCATCCCCCCCTCCCCCCAGTGATCTTTTTTAAGTAATGTTTTAGCTCAAATGAAGTTTTACTGTAAACCCAAAACCATGTTCTGTTTGTTGTTCTGAAGGAAAAAAAAAAACTCAGAAGGGTTTAAAATTTGCTAATAAGTCACAGTTTGGTATGCTTAATTTATTTAATTCATATTCTTAATATTCATCTGACTGTTTATAAAGTTTAAATGTAATGTTTTAATCATTAAGGAGCGTTGGTCTTGGCAATACATTGCATCGCTGACTGTATTCACAGTACATTACCACTTAGCTATTATTCTGCCCTTGAATTTTTTGTTGGAAGCAGTACTTTAATGGGATCTAAACTGTACAACAACTCCTCAATAACTTTAAACACAGTCTTTGATAGTTATGTTGTAGGATAGTGTTTTGTGATGGATTAATAGTCTGCCTGCTTTAAAGGGACACTATAGTCCCCAAAACAACTTTAGCTTAATGAAGCAGCCTCACTGCTCAATTCTCTGCCATTTAGGAGTTAAATAACTTTGTTTATGAACTCTAGTCATACCTCTCTGCATGTGACTTGCACAGCCTCCCTAAACACTTCCTGTAAAGTCATCTAAAGTTTATCCTTCCTTTATTGCAAGTTCTGTTTAATTTAGATTTTTTTTATTTTTTTTAATCCCCCTGCTATGTTAATGGCTTGCAAGACCCTGCAAGAGCATACTGTATGTAATTGAAGTTCAATTTACAGCGAAAGAGATAAAATTGTTTAAGGTAAATTACATCTGATTGAAAGTGAAACAAGTTTTTTTTTTTTTCATGCAGGCTGTGTCAATCATAGCCAGGTGTGACTAGGGCTGCATAAACAGAAACAAAGTGATTTAACTCCTAAATGGAAGTGAATTGAGCAGTAAAACCTGAGAAGCATCATCTATACACCAAAACTGCTCCATTAAGCTAAAGTTGTTTAGGTGACTATAGTGTCCCTTTAAATTCTGTTTAGTAAACTGTTATATATTTAGATTCAGCCTGAATGGTCACTTAAGTCCTACCTTCTGTACCCCAGTAATATACTGTCTGCTATGACATCACTAATACGCCCGGCTGTAGTTAGGAAGAACTTAAGTGCTGTGACTGTTGACATAATGTTGCAGTTTGTCCACAGGTGATATATATATCACCTGTGGACAAACTGCAACATTATGTCAAAATTGAAATTATATAATTTCAGCATGGGATTGCACCAGGGCATTGGATTTCACAGTGTACCAGCAAGGGTGAGTGCCATTTTATTTATATATATATATATATATATAATTTTTTTATTTCTTCTATGGCAATCCTGCAATTTATATATTGCAGTCATTGGTAGATTAGTGGCCAAGTCCTTCCTCTCTTCAGATCACAAACGGGATAACACCCGTGGCTCACTAACCTGACTTGTAAAGACTGTAGAATCTGGCTGAGCTACATTTTATTTGGTTTCATTTAAAAAAAAAAAATTGTTTTTAAAAATTGCGCAATAGTAATACTATTGAGGCTAAAATTATTCAAGGGTAAAGACCACTCCAGTTGTATATTTTACATGGTACCCATAATTCTTCATTGGACTAAAGTTTGATTATTGAATGTTAGCTAAATGTTCTATAGTTTGTTAGGTTGAAACAAATTATGCTTTTCCCATCAAGTTCACGTTTTTACTTAAAGGGAAACTATAGGCACCAAGACCACCTCATCTTACTGCAGTGTCCCTGTCCACTGAACCCAGCAAGTGTAAACCAGATGTGTTTCCCGCTGTTTTTATGGAGCTTGGCTCTGTGAAACAATGCTGGATGTCCTCACGCTTTGCACAACCCATAGGCCTAATGCACGCTCGGCGCTCGCCACAGGGCACATCTGGGTCCCCTTCGCGATGATGTTGGAGGAGGCAGAGAATCCTTGCAGGAATTGGGTGTGTTTTTAACCCATATTTGTTGGGGGTGGAATGTGCTGCAGGGAATTCTATGGTGTTCCTTTAATCATATTTAACACACATATATATATTTTTAACATTCCTTCAAAAAGACGTTGTAGAACATTAAAACAAATTAGGCCATCTATAATTACTAAAACCTATACACAATCGAATGCGTTTGATGTACAAGAACTGTATTTTCCAGTTATTTAATTTATTTTTAATTCTTCTTGGTACATTGTATTGGGGGTAGGTTGTTGTTTTTGTTTATATATATATATATATTCGACATAACATCTATTGTGTATTTCTAAATGCCCAGTCTGGATTGTTATAGGTTTAGACAGTAACAGAGTTGGTCACAGTAGCCCAGCTATAATTCACCAGCCATTGGGCTTTTAAAAAAACTACCTGATTTTGTTATTCACTCACTAAAGTGCAAACTGTCTGGAAATGTCTGACAAAATAGTCCGAGTTTAAAACCGCTGAATTAGAGATTGATTTTCCGTTTGGCTACAGCGGTCTAAAATGTTAAAATTTCTTCCAATTCCCAAGCATTCACATTTTAGTGAAATGAATGCATTACTTCGCTGGGTTTGAACTGGCGCAAAGAATACAGAAGTGTAAGATCCGTCTGATCTTTCTCTTTTTCTGTATTCCAGTTGAAAGTGACATTCACTTATTGTTGAAATGTGTCTGATGTTGTCTTACACACTTTTTCTATTCATTCCATACATCCTATTTTTATAGTAATCCGATAATACTTGTAACCTGTTCCACCTTGTGTGCCTTTTTGTATCAATCTGCGTCCGGTCAATCAAAGGCCAAGTATTTACCTAAATATTGTCTCTTTCTGCAGTTAACCTTTTTTTTTTTTTTGTGTGCGCGCATGTTTTATTGCTAATACCAGTTGTTTTGAGGTACAATTGAAATCTGACTGTTCATACTGTTGATATTTTGTATATAAAAAATATTGTTTAAAAAAAAAAAGCGCATAACTCATTTTTTCAGGAATTTATTTAACCCCATAAAGGGACATTTTAGGCCCTTCATCTTACTGAAGTGGTTAGTGTCTGGAGTCTCCTGGTGCCTTCCTTCCATTCGGTGTGAAACCATTTGTAATGTTTCAATGCTAAACAAGAGTCCCCAGCAGCCCATCTACTCTGTGCATCTTTGAATAGCTGACTGTTTTCAGCCTATCACAGCTGTCCATTGCTTAAAGGGAGACTATAGTCACCAGAACTAATATAGCTTAATGTATTTGTTTTGGTGAATAGAATAATTTCCTTCAGGCTTTTACAGAGAAAATGCAGTGTTTACATTACAGTCTAGGGATACCTCCATCGGCCACTCCTCATATGGCTGCTAGAGGGGCTTCCTGGGACAGTGCTGCACAGTGTGACTGCCATTCATTGTCTCCACCCTCTGCATGCAGACACTGAACTTTGCTCATAGAGATGCATTGATTCAATTCATCACTATGAGGAGATGCTGATTGGCCAGGGCTGTGTTTAACTTGTGCTGGCTCTGCCCCTGATCTACCTCTTTGACAGTCCCAGCCAATCCAATGCTTTCCTGTGTCAAAGCATTATGATTGGCTCAGACCACAACGTCTGATTTATGTCAGCCAAGGAGACAGATCAGGGGCAGAGCCAGCAGCAGCAGCCTAGAATAAAAGTACGACTTTACTGTATTTAGGGGGGCTAAATGGTGTATTTAACTCTATAGGGTCAGGAATACATGTTTGTGTTCCTGACCCTATAGTGTTCCTTTCATATGGCTAGAAGGCAGTGTGTACTATCTGCCTTAGTCATATCTACAGAAGGGAAGGAGCTGTGGGAGCCATGGACCCTTATTTGGTAAAAAAAAAAAAAAGTCTCATTGTTTAACACTGGATGGATGCACTGTGCCAGAGGACTTCAGTAGTATAACCAATTTAAGTAGTTGAAATACTTACAGTGCCTATGGTGAAATGATTTACAACCCATCGTAACATTGAAGTCATTAAGGTGTGTGTCATATGTTCGGAGACATCTTTGCTGCCTTTTGCAAAGACCTACCCAAATGACATATCTGCTTAAATGGTGGCATTTGTGGAAGTTTGGGAAAGGGAGCTAGATTTACCTAAAACTCTAATTCCTTGGACTGCCATCTTCCGGTCTCCAGTTTCTGGCAGATGAAGGTACTAGGACCTGCTTCATCTTTAAACTTTTCTTGCGTGTACATGATAAAACATGGATTTATGGGAGATCATGCGAGATCTTCAATTGACCTTCTCACGCATTCAGAAGGCTGGTTCTCATCATCTTTGATATATGGCTTTTTCAAAAACATTTCATGTTTAAGGAAAAATTCAGCATTGCAAATATTTTACTAAGACTACCCCTTTTAGGGTCCTATCCTAAAAGAGAGTGCCCTTCTTAATGAGAGCAGAGCTTCAAGCATTGTATATGTACACCAATTCTTCCTGGCATTATGCCTTACATTGCGATGTCAGCAAAAATGCTTTTTGTCCTTAGGGAACCTACCCTCGCATGCTGATAGGAATCTGTCAAAAAATAGAAATCTTTTCATACCATCCAAGGAATCTGCACTTTGTGTTAGCCAAAATAATTACAAATATAGATTGTTTTTTTTTTCTTATGACATTACGTCTGAGTAATGCATAAAGTGATTAATGTGTTCACCAAGAAATTGAACATTTGAGCCAAAATAGGAAAACCATTTCTATTTTTTAGTGAATAAACCCAACACTACAAACACCTGTGACTAGTAAGGGTCCAAAACAACTGCCAGTAATTCACACAATCTTGGCCCAAAATAGCATAGTATTCTTTCCCCATTTTGGTTATTTGGACCTAAAAGTTTGAAATAGCTTGTGGAATTCCACACAATTCTTGGTTTTAGTGCTGTTATTCCTGACCGTTTACAGGTAAGATATTATTCCTAACCTGTATAAGAGTACGAAGTGATACTTTGTTTTGCATTTTATGATTAATTGAAAGGTTTTTATTATTCAGTCTGTAATATTTTCCATATTAAAAGAACACTCCAGGCACCATAACCACTACAGCTTGCTGTAGTGGTTATGGTGTCAGGGGGCCCTTCTATTGTAAGTAGTCAAACTGCTTTAGATTGGTTTAACATTTTATGTGGGGTCCTCTGACTGCCAACCCCCTGAAGTTTTTTCTGAGCTAAGCCCTGCAGTGTGAGGCTTAGCTCGTTTGCTGAGAGCAATCAGCTGATGCTGTTAGGCAGTAAGCTCAGGTGAGCTGTAGTGGTTATGGTGCTTGGAGTGTTCCTTCAATAAATGTTGATGGCATTTTAAGCTCACATGTTTAGTGAGAGGTCACTGCATGAATATACAGACTGGGCACTAAAATGAGTCACTCTGGACTGCCGGGTGCTGGTTACAACCTACTTTTGTGATCAATATACTTTTGATTTTGCGGTTGTGTGTTTGAAGGAAATAGACGGCCCCTACTTTTATGTCACAATTTGGGGGTTATTCACTAAACCCTGAATTGTAGGACTTAAAAATGTATCTGTCAAAACTGAGGCTAAAACATCTAAGCTGGAGCCATTCCGCTAGAGTCAAAGTTTGGCTATTGTCTCTGAATTCACTATAAATCGGGGTTTAAGAAATTAAGCTCTAGGGATATTTATTAAGGCAAACAGGAGGTTCTGGGGCAAAGACAAGTCTTCGACATGAGTGGGGAAGAATTATGAAAGTGTCATGGTCTGAAAAGTGTTGTGATAATGTAAAAACAATGGAATGGGACTGCTGGGTCCACGTTTCCTTAGTATTTTGCACTATTTTACAGAACACGACTCTTTGCTAAATCTTGCCCATTCTGTGGGTTTTGGTCTCCATGGTGATGTTAGATATTCAGTTATCACTAATGCAAGTAGTTTTAATTCCAGTGGAAGTTATGTTCCTCAAAAATGTGTATATATACTGTATATATATTTTTCTTTGATTGGGAATTACTGCACTTTTGGTTTACTTAAATAAATGTGATTTGAACTCTTAATTACTATATTATGATCTTGGTAATCTAATAGTTTGTGCACTTGTGGGTTACGGAGCAGGTGCTAAAATACACTGTGTAATTGTTGCCGCAATCTATGGTTTAAAAACGTCTTTCACAATACAGTTTCACAGTATAGGGACACTAAATGTTCTAACCGCACGTTTATTCTTGTAGTGAAGGTAAAGGCCTATTCTGGAAATCAGGAGGGGCGGATGGCAATGTAAGGGTTAAACAATTAATTGAACGAATTCCCTGACCAACGGCGTACGAACATTAATATAAAATTCAAACCATGCTCACGAGAGGTGGGTTTTGTCAAGTGTCCTTGTAGTGCTGTCTGTGTGTCTTGTTTTATGCTACACATTCCTCTCAATGTCTGATTGCACTTTGTTTAATTGTTTTTGAATTGATCAGTGGTTTAAAAAAAACCAAAAACCTGTATTTTTGTACCCCACACGAACTGCTAATGAATTTATCAGTATCTACAGTTTCCAAGTGTATCTTGTTTAATAAATGGATACCATAAAGCTTTGTGCACTGTATTTTATTCAAAACTATTAATACGTACATTGATCACTAAAAAGTTAATACATTTTAAGTGAACGTAGATAAAGCAAAATGTGAGAATTCCTTTCACAGTAAAACAGAACATTTAATACATTTTAAGGATTTCACGTTTTGCCACCTCCAAAGATATGTTATTCACACTACAAACTGAATTGAATAACTAATTCCCATAATTTGGCTACAAAATGTGCGACTATAGCAGTTTGAGATTTTGTCTACATTTTGTAATTCCATTTTGAATTCACTGCAATTCAGTTAAGTTTACGTTAAGTTGCTTGGCAACAAATGTGCAGCATAGTCTTAAATTTGATTAGTATTACCCTATTTCTTCTTTAAAAAGGGTAATACAAAAACGACTGCTTTTTTTCTATAATATCCCTAATATGAGTTTTTTTGTAAAAATATCCTAAAAAGGTGCGATGTTAAAAGAACACAACACCATAACTACTAAAAGCTATGGTGTCAGGATTGCCCTGAGGCCTACGCGTTTTAAGTAGTGAAACTATTTTAGAAAAGTGTTTTTACCTCAAGTCTGCCAGGTGCTGCTCCCCACCACTTTGTAACCAGAAGCCGATTGCTCTCAGCCAATGAGCTAAGCCAAGCACTGCTGGGTTTAGCTCAGAGCCGAGAGCTTATGGCTGCAGCCGATGCAAGAAAAGAAACAAAATTATTCTAAAACTATTTGACTACTTACAATAATCACTACAGATTGTGAATTTCTAATTTTAGGCTATAATATTTTAACTGGAAGAAGAAAAAAAAATTCAAAATGTTTAGTTTAGCTATTTTAACCGGCGATTTAAAATTCACTTTGAATAACATTCTGACATGTGGAGAGTTCCATTTTACAGATGCCACAATTCATGGCATGGATTGGCACAGAATGTTTCACACTGGGTCAAGCGGCCGCTGTTGATTTATCGCTGTAGCCTGGCACACTTGTCCTCATTAGAGGGATAATATTTATAGTGATATGATTGCTTTCCGAACGACTGCCGCTTCAAACACAGGTCATCCGATTAGCACAATTTTAAATCCTTACACACTTTTTTTTTGGAAAGAGAGTAAATATCAGCTGTAAACAAAAAGAGTGGAATAGCGCTAAGTCAGAGGACGGGGAGGCAGCACACCTAAATGGATAAGTCTATTCTAAAAACCCAATAAGGACAAACAACAATACAAGACTGTAGGGTGCGCCAGGGTTTAAGTCATTACATTACGTCACCCCTTAACCCCTGGCGCACCCTACAGTCTTGTATTGTTAAATATCAGCTGTGCACATCCAGTCTTGTGCGTCAGTCAAATCTAGGATAGGGTACCAATGACAGCAAGCCTAATACGGACTGCCATTCCCATTCAGCCAGCTAAGGATGGGGTTTGCGATCCACACAGCAGTACCATTTATTGGCAATTGTGGATTTACATCTGTAACAGTTACTAGTGGATTAGTTTATTTTGAAAATCTGGAACTGTAAACCCCAGCTATCAAAATGAACAGTATATGTAAACTGCCACTAGAGGGCACTGTGATATCTACCTCTACACTTGCAGGGCCATACATTTAAACTTTTTTTTTTTTAAGAAACTTTTATATATAAAATTTACATTGCAACAACATTTAAGTGATGTAAATTAATATTAACCTATTCATGTTTAGTTTAGGCTTTAATACATCTTTGGTAATGTTACTGACCCACGTCGATTAATAAAACAGACTGAGGGCTCCTAAGGCACGTTTAGAAGTAAAATCACCCTCTTGCTGGGCTTTGAGTTATTTGGGGGGGTTTATGGAAGTCACATGGAAAGTCTCAGCATTTACAAAATGTGTCCACATATCCCTTTTGGGTCTCAGGCCCCACGTGGTCAAGTAACCAAATAGGTTTTTAAACTGTCCACCAAAGAGAACAGCTTACTATGAATTTGAACAAGCTGCGAGTTTTTCTGCCGAGGCCACCGATGTCCAGGAGAACAAGCTGCAAGGGACGTTGTCCTCACTGCAGGGCACAATATCCAGTCTCCGAAGGCAGGGAGGATTCTCAGAGCTTCTTGTTTAATCAGAGTCTGAATCATATTCTTCATCTAAAAGGGAGAGGGTCGATAAAATGTGACATGTTTAGTGGTTCTGAGATTAGGGAAAAAAATAAATAATGGCATTCAAGAGATTTGTGAACTCCTGCATTTATTAAGTGGGTAGAGATACACAAACTTGTTCACACATGCATTGTGTCAGTTTAGTAACATCTTTGAGCTGCAACATGTTAACTTGTAAATTACATGATTGAGAGTGGATTAAAGAGACACTCAGAGCATCATAACTTTATAATGAGGCCCACTGTCCTGGCCCATCTGGACACACGTGTAACTACAGCTATGAGACCGCCGCTTCGATACTCTAGGTCAGGGGTAGGCAACCTTTGGCACTCCAGATGTGGACTACATCCCCCATAGTGCTCTTACACCCATAATGCTGACAAAGCAACATGGGAGGTGAAGTCCAAAACATCTGGAGTGCCGAAGGTTGCCTATGTCTGCATAGAAAAAAGCTGTACATCCATTCTATTAGTACAGTGTAAATCAGTTTAAAATAATTTATTAATATTCGTGAAATGCACTCACAAGATTAGATGAGAAATAGCGCTCTAGGGTGCCTCCCCGGTTAGTAGTGGGGGGCTATTCTCTTCCTCCAGTTGCTCCCGATAGGTGAATGGAAAGCAGGACTCACAGGATGGTGGAAAAAATGGCTTTATTAAGGATGAATATTCACCCGGCAATAAAAGAAAATATAAACTTAAAATGAGGTCCTACGCGTTTCGTTCACAGTACGGAACTTCCTCAGGGACCAAAATTAAAACCAAATATTATACAGCAATGACAAAGTATAAAATACAGCCTAATCCCACCCTCCCATCAGTCCTGTTATATAGGGCTAACCCCTAAGTTAATTAGTGGCGTCCTGGGCGTCCTCCTGGATTCCTTTAGTCATTGGTGTGGTAATTACTCACATCCAGCTGGCTCTTTCTGATTGTAGTTGCAGTAAAACATTCCCGCGTCCAGTATCAGCCGAAAACCTGAACCGGAAGTGAACGCACACTTCCGCGTTCCATTCGATCGTGCGTTCCAGCAAGTGAAATCAAGGTGTCTATTGACAGAGCCCTCTGGTGGTCGCCAGGGGTACATTCCCAAGCAGTGAATGTTAAAAGAAATCGTGTATCTATTGAGACAAAACACAATAGTCTCGGCAGCAACCTGGTGGAATAATTATATGGCATAAATTATTCTCTTTTACCACTTTTAAATCCCTGGTAAACACTTAATTCAAGTCTAATCTCAGAAGAACATAATTATAATCACAGAGTGACAACAAAGTGAATAATTTAAACATAATAAAAAAATCAAAACATATACATTATATATCCAATTTTTTTTAAAATTAATTAAATAGAAAAAACACACATCTACCACAGACAATCTCTCAGTATGTCAGTTTTTGTTAATCCAAATCAAATACCCCTAGCAGGATAAAAAGATGGATGTAAATCCGTAATTATTACGAATATATGATGAATGGTAAGGAAGTATCTCTACAAAAAGTAGAGAAGAAAGAAAGGGTAAACAAGACCAGATATCGTTATAATAAGACATAAAAGCAAGTAAATAAACCACAAAGTCCGTGTGGCAAACAGTATGTGGGCCGTACCATAAGAGCTTTTAAGGTTCGAATACTTAAACATCTGAACAACATTAGGAAGGGGTTAATTACTCACTCAGTCTCTGCACATTGCAGTACATGCCCTTCCTTTTCATGGAAAGATTTCAGATGTATGGGTATCGAAAGAGTTGCCCCCCATTGGCGTGGTGGCGATAGGATTAAGAATCTATCCCAAAGGAAAACCTTTTGCATTCATCAACTAAAAACATTAGAACCTATGGGACTAAATGTAGATATTTATTTAGTCTGTTTTTTATAAATCATATCATGTTTTTTTGGTCTGTCTGTTTGCTTTTATGTCTTATAACGATATCTGGTCTTGTTTACCCTTTCTTTCTTCTCTACTTTTTGTAGAGATACTTCCTTACCATTCATCATATATTCGTAATAATTACGGATTTACATCCATCTTTTTATCCTGCTAGGGGTATTTGATTTGGATTAACAAAAACTGACATACTGAGAGATTGTCTGTGGTAGATGTGTGTTTTTCTATTTAATTAATTTAAAAAAAATTTTTTAGGATATATAATGTATATGTTTTGATTTATTATTATTTTTAAATTATTCACTTTGTTGTCACTCTGTGATTATAATTATGTTCTTTTGAGATTAGACTTGAATTAAGTGTTTACCAGGGATTTAAAAGTGGTAAAAGAGAATAATTTATGCCATATAATTATATTCCACCATGTTGCTGCCGAGACTATTGTGTTTTGTCTCAATAGATACACGATTTCTTTTAACATTCACTACTTGGGAATGTACCCCTGGCGACCACCAGAGGGCTCTGTCAATAGACACCTTGATTTCACTTGCTGGAACGCACGATCGAATGGAACGCGGAAGTGTGCGTTCACTTCCGGTTCAGGTTTTCGGCTGATACTGGACGCGGGAATTTTTGACTGCAACTACAATGAGAAAGAGCCAGCTGGATGTGAGTAATTACCACACCAATGACGAAAGGAATCCAGGAGGACGCCCAGGACGCCACTAATTAACTTTAGGGGTTAGCCCTATATAACAGGACTGATGGGAGGGTGGGATTAGGCTGTATTTTATACTTTGTCATTGCTGTATAATATTTGGTTTTAATTTTGGTCCCTGAGGAAGTTCCGTACTGTGAACGAAACGCGTAGGACCTAATGTTAAGTTTATATTTTCTTTTATTGCTGGGTGAATATTCATCCTTAATAAAGCCATTTTTTCCACCATCCTGTGAGTCCTGCTTTCCATTCACCTATCGGGAGCAACTGGAGGAAGAGAATAGCCCCCCACTACTAACCGGGGAGGCACCCTAGAGCGCTATTTCTCGTCTAATCTTGTGAGTGCATTTCATGAATATTAATTCATTATTTTAAACTGATTTACACTATGTATATGTATATTTTTTAATTTTAGATTTCTCAGTCGTATCCCGAATATTTAGGGTTGTCCTACATTTTGCTGTGTAAAGGTCATTTATTCTGGGTAATGACCTGGGAGGCTGTTCCATTTGAATATTAACCCCTTAAGGTCACAACTTTTGCAATAAAAAGGGAATCATGACAGAATATTTCCGTCATGTGTCCTTAAGGGGTTAAGATAAGTACACTTTATCTGTATATACTATCCACTTAATGGTGATATAGTTATATTTTAGCATTTTCTTATTCGTACAGTGTGTGTGATGTACCAATCTCTGTCCCGTGACCAGTTCTATTACAGTTTACATGGATGGACCTTGCACTGCTGTCTGACACCGCTAGTAAGTTCATTGTGAAAAGAGCCGACAGTAAAGCTGATAGTAGCCACAGTGCTACGGGTAGCAGCTCAGGTATCGATTCATTTCACCCTGCATGATGATATGGTTGTAAGTGCTGATATACATACCTCTTAAACCTGTTGTAGACTAGAGATTAAGGTAGGGATAAGGTAAAACTCCATTCAACAGAGCCATTTCCTGGCCTGGACCAAGCACAATGCAAAAGCTGAAATCCTGGCAAATATAGGAACTTTAAGAGTATATTTTTTATGGATTAAAAATCAGGATGAATTCCACGCTGGAGTGTCGCTTTAAATACAAGAAGAATCTTTCTAATGCTAGATCTCAAACGCCCCCCAATAAAACTTCATGTGGATTTTTAATCAAGTATATAAAATAATTTAAGGAACAGTTACGTCACCAGCACCGAGGGAGCCCGGCGCTGGATTAAGGTAAGCTGCTGAAGGGGTTTTAACCCCTTCAGCGCTACGGGAGGGGGACCTGAGGGTGAGGGTCCCCCAAGGATGACAGTGTCAGGAAAAGGTTTGTTTTTCTGACACTATAGTTATCCTTTAATTTTGCCCCTCTAATTTAAGACTATGTCCTCCTTGTTGTGGTAGTTTTTCTTCTTTTAAATATAGTCTCCACCTTTACTGTGTTGATTCCCTTTATGTATTTAAGTGTTTCTATCATATCCCCCCTGTCTCGTCTTTCCTCCAAGCTATACATGTTAAGATCCTTTAACCTTTCCTGGTAAGTTTTATCCTGCAATCCATGAACCAGTTTAGTAGCCCTTTTCTGACCCCTCTCTAAAATATCAATATCCTTCTGGAGATACGGTCTCCAGTACTGTGTACAATACTCCAAGTGAGGTCTCACCAGTGTTCTGTACAATGGCATGAGCACTTCCCTCTTTCTACTGCTAACACCTCTCCCTATACAACCAAGCATTCTGCTAGCATTTCCTGCTGCTCTATTACATTGTTTGCCTACCCTTAAGTCATCAGAAATAATCACCCCTTA